TACTCTAAACGCCTTTTACTCCCGCCGTATCACGGTTATCGGCTTTAATACCGGTTTTCGCGTTAAAGCTATTCTTTTTCCGAGTCGTCCTCGCTAATCGACTCGTCTCCGCTCTTATCGCGATCCTTTACGCGGTTCTCCTTAACCTTCTAGACTATATCTTAGTTTTCTTTTAGCTTTTTATAGTTCCGCGCGATATACCCCTTTTTATTATAGTTATAGTATATCCGAGTCTTTTACTTCGCCTTTCTATCGTTAATACGGTTTACTCCGCTTATCTTCGTATCGCTATTAGTATCCTTCTTCGCGGTTACGTAATCTTAAGCTTATTTATCGTAGTTCCGTTTAAATTAGTAACCTTTAAGTTTCCCGGGGATCTCTTACACGCTATTAACCTATATAGTATAATAGTTAGTAGAAATACGGGCGGAGATAAGCTTATCCCTAAGTCGTGAGGTAATTAATCCTTTAAGAAATAAAATCTATACGGTAGCTTCTTATTTAGTACCGCCTATAAAGGCGATTTATCTTTTAAAATAGGGCAGGAAAGCGGTAAACGATTTATCGGTTTGTTAGCGAATTATACGTAAGGCTTAGGTAGCCCGCGATTATTCCGTGGGATTAGGGTAAGTACGATTAAGGTACGCTATAAGGTTATTAGGGTTCATAAGCTTACTCGGCCTATCGCTTTTATAAAAGGCTAATATAACCTATTATACTTCGGGTCTTAGGTAATTATAAATCGTGTACTAAGCTTATATATTATTCTAGAATAGGTTATTATCGATTATGAGCTTCTACCGTATCGTATAGGCCTATACGCTATAGTATACTCGTTTCCCCGAGAACTTCGCCGGGCTATTAATAATCATACGGGGTGCCGCTATTAAGGTTAGGGCGACTGCTATTATTATCGGCTATAGCGCTAGCGATAAAACCGGTAATAGGGTAGACTCTATTAGTATAAGGATTATCGGGGTTTTTAAGGGAGCCGGAATATTTAAGTTAGGCAGTATAGGGTTTTACGGGGTAGGCGATCCTAGGAGCCGGGCTATAAGCTATTTAACTAACTAGCATTATCACTTATTAGCTTCTTCTCTCGCGCGTTATCGGTCTATAAACTAGCGTATTTCCGAGTAATATTCTTATATTAGAGCGAGCCTTAAGTTAATATCGGTATATTATTTATAAAGAGGGCCTAGCCTTACGTTTAGGGCTTAGTTATTTTCTTCGAACCGTTAGTTTATCCACTCTATAACCTATTTAATTCTAATAGGTTATTAGGCGGTAGCGTTAGGATTCTAATTTATCGCTAGTGTAGCGTGTGGGTATCGCTAAGTTCTAGATATATAAATAACTAGTTATAGGTTATAGTACTAAGTAAGGTCGTAATAATAGATTATCTAAAACTAAGGAGGGAAAAGGGAAAAAGGAGAAAAGTCTACGGCGTTAGGCTAGCTATAAGGTAGCGATAACTTAGCGATATAGGTCCGTTAACTAAGCGCGTAGTCAGGAAGATCCGGAGTATAGCCGGATCCTCTATATTGGGGTTAACCTGTAATATATCCTTATAATAATTAAGGAATTCCTCGTCTAGGTAGACCGTTAATTAGACTATAAAGTACGCGTTTTCGAGGCTAATAACGAGCTAACTTAATCTAACGATATCACCCTTTTCCTACGCGAGGAGGGCATCCTTTTAGAGGTATCTACTACCGATACTCAAGCATAGAACGTGGGTGCTATACGCGCGGCTACCGTAGTAATTTCGCAAGGTCGTGCGATAAATATCCACGTAAAACTACCGCCGTTTTTATAGCCTAAGGCTATTCCCATGGCTACGTACGTCTATAACCGCACACTACGAAAGCAGTATAATAAGGAGTGGAAAACGCTATATAAGGTCCTCTTTAAAAGGAAGCCGATTTTATTATATCTTCGAGCCTACGGTTATAAAGTATACGCAATAACCAAGCACGCCTAAAAGGGCACTAATAAACTATTAAATCGTATCGCTCCCCGTACCTATATCGGCTACCTGATCGGCTATGACTCTACTAATATCTTCCGTATCTAGGTACCTAGCCTACGCTGCTATAACCGTATTATTCGAATACGCGATATGGATTTTAATAAATACGCCTTCATTAACGGCGATATCGCCACCTTTAAGGACGACCTCCGTTAATTAACCGAGGAGTAACTAGAAGATCTAATTAGTTAGATTAAGTAGGAGAGGGCTAGAGATTTACGGCTATTTACGGACGTATAAACTAAGGACCCCCCCCCCTTTATATAACTGCTTATTTTAAACTTAACCCTTTACCGGGACTAGTTCCCCCCGGATCCCTTTCCTTAACAGCGTTATTACTATTAAGGTTATAGTCCGTAATACCCGGTCGTAAGGGGGTAGAGGAGGCTATCTTAAGTCTAGAAGGATAAGATTTAGGTTATAAACCGTGTAATTTAGCTAGTATAACGCTTAATCCCCGTCTATAATAGCCCGTAAATCCATAGCTTCCTACTCTGCCGATAACCCCGTTATCGGTTATAGTGTTAATAGTAGCCGTGATCTTAGGTAATCGTCGTAAAGCACCTCTAGCTATAGGCTTCCTTATAGATAAAGGAACACGATACCATAATATCCCTATAGCGACGGCTATAGGGCTCCTTATAGATAAAAGAGCGCGCCTTAACCGGTAAGGCGATAGCTAGAAAAGAGACTATTAAGTAGTAGTATTTAACGCTAGCCGTTATGCCCCGGATATATATATATTAAATAGGGCTCCGCTAACTAAATTACGGTTAAAAAGGTTTATACCTATAGTGCTATAACGACGTTTAACGGCACCTAGCGAATCCACGGCCCCGGCGGTAGCTACTGGAAGTATAACCAGGGAGGCTATCTTAGGAAATATAACCCCGGCGGTTACTCTAGCGGGTACTCTAGCGGCCGTAAAGATCTACTATAAAGACCTCCCTCCTCCTTCGAAGAACCCTCGCGATATACCCTTATACCCTTACGGCCACCTATTCTGATAGGTATAAGAAGACTACCTACGGAGCTATAAGGAGATAGGGTCGTGGATATAGGTACCGGCGTCTATAGCAGATAGATATTAGGTTCTTAATTCGATATAAGTGATAATATATAAATTCGATAAGTATGGATTTCTGTATAAATATAAGGTAAGGCTTATAGTATAAGGAGATTAGTAGTATTAATCCTCTCTTAAGGAGACGTATATAGTAATACTAATAGGATAGTTATTCCGCGCGTTAATAGCTATCGCTACCCGATTTAACCTTACGCTATTATAATTCGAGATTATAAACGCGTTTATATACACGCCCCTCCCCTATAGTATCTTAATATATCCGCCGCCAGGATTTCTAGCCCCGGGGAGCCGTTTATACCTAAAAAAGGCGTTATATAGACTTAAGGAGTCTTTATTACTTTAGTAAAAGCACTTTTTAGCTATCCTATTAGTGGACGGTTTTTAGATAGTACCGTAGAAACCGTGTTATTTTCTGCGTCGCGGTTTAATCCTGTTTTTCTACGTTAACGATACTGTTATTACTTAGAAGAAATAATATAAGGTATAGATAGAGTAGGCTATTAATAACCTATAATGCTACTATAACCTATAAGGTAACGATCCTCTATAATAGTTCCTTAGTATTAAGGTTATTCGCGACTATACCGCCCGTAAAATCTAGCTATTATAATACGACTACGTTACTAAATTAGAACGCCTATTAAAGCCGAATAGCAAGCATAGCAGTAACTATCGCCTAACGCACCTAATTAAGGTTATAGAGCTACTACCCTATTCAGGGACCTCGACAAATATTAAAAGCTATTAACGGAAGATAGGATCTATACTATACGTAGTAGTAATATCGCGGCCAGATATCGCTTTTATAGTATTAAGGCTATACCGTTTTAACGTTAATCCAGGGCCTGTATACTATAAGGCCGCCGATTATCTAATCCTCTATCTAATTAATAGCTAATCGTTTACGTTAGAACTAAGGGTTAGCGATACTATCGAAATCTTACTAACGCCTTATTTACCGATAATATCCTTAATCGTAAAAGCAGTTAAGGGTATATGATACGCTTATTTAGCGGTATAATCGCGTAGCGCGCTAATAAGCAGAATACGGTTATGACGTTAATAATAGAAGCAGAGCTATTAGCGTTAGTACAAGGTGTAAAAGAGGGTATCTTTATATAGCGACTATTACTTAGTATAGAAGTAGAATTTAATAATCCGGAATTAAGGATCTTATACGATAATAACTAAACGATCCGATTAGTTAATTAAGAGATTAGCACGTTAATAACGCGCCTCCGCTATATTAATATCCATAGCTACTAGTTATGTTAAGTAAAGGAATAAGGGTAAATACTCGTAACGTACGTTATAAGCGCGGAAATAGTAGTAGACGGATTAACGAAGGCGTTATACGGTAAGAAATTTAAGATATTCAGGGCCTAGGTAGGAGTAATAGATATACGGGAACGGCTATAGTAAAAATAGCTAGAGGAAGTCCGGATAGAGTATTTAGAAGACCTACAGGACGAATTTAAGGGCGGCTATAGCGAAGAGATTATATAGGCCGTATACCCGTTATATCTACCGGTTATAAATAGCTTTAATCGTCTAACTAACGTTTTAGGGCGATTAGGGAGTATATCGAATAGACTATAGTCTTTTCGGTTATGTAATAGGCCGGATTACTAAGAGTATAATCCGGGTAGACGCTTACACAATCTGCACTATATAAAATACAGTGGCAGCGTTTCCCTGACAATCTAACACAGTTATAATTATACACAATTGCCTCAATCAATTTTGACCTATTTTTTTGTGACGATTTTGACTACGCTTTATCTAACAGCACTTTCCGCCAAAAATTAGCGGTTCCAGCAGTGCTTTCTCTGTTTATGGAGTAATCTTTGCTATGATCAAGGTACCGCCTTAATTAGCTCGACCGGTTATCATAACCTACCTTACCTACTTTATTATTTTATTCGCAGGAACCCTTGCACTGCACTGTCCAACCACTAATTCTTGCAAAACACCTTAACCCGAACCGACGGCAACACAGCCCAACCCCATTTTCTTTCTTTCTTCCCCTCACATCCTCAACCTCAACATCCTCACAACCCTCAGCATCGCGGCCATCCGCCTCTCCCTCTCGTCCTTTGTATCGCCCCGAATGGTACATCCAGATCAATAGAGAGAAAAAGTGTCCTTTTACAGTCCTACTCGACCACACTGCCCTAGAAAGAGTCGATCATTCCACACCGCCTGCCAGCAGCATTTGGCACCTTCTCGTCGTCGGATCCTTCGTGAGCCACATCGAGTCGTTGTGGCCAAGAGAAAAAGGCACCATCCCTTGCAGCCTGCACTTGAGGCTTTTTACGACCATGAATGTTCTCTTGTCGCCTCAACCTCATCGTCTCCCTCATCAACACGAAGCCACCCATCTTTCTTCGCCATCTCGGTCTGGTGAGTAATTTCCGTCCTTTCCCCACAATATCGATATATCGATCCTCATGCACCACAGAACACCCTGATTCTAACGTTTTAGTAGGGAGTCCATTTCACAACATGACAGGCCGCAAACGAAAAGCCGATGATGAGAACGATGAAATGTCCGTCTCGCCTCGAAATTCGCCCGCCGTCGCCTCTCGACAACTCTCTCGCCCCTCCAAGAAATTTCGCGCCAACGATATCGTCGGGCGCCCCCTCTCCCTCCCCAGGTTACTCGAGACTCTGGATCCGACCCAACTACGAACCGTCCTCGAACGCATCTGTGAACGCCACCCTGATATTGGCCGGGAGGTCGTCGAAAGCGCTCCCAGGCCTACTGTCGCTGCGGCACACGACGTTCTGCGCGAGTACGAGGAAAAACTAAAGGCGGCTGTTCCCTACGGCGAGAGCAGTGCCGACTACACTTACTACCGAGTCAAGGCGCCCCTGACAGCCCTCATCGACGCTCTTCTGGATTTCACTCCGCAGTACCTCCCTCCTATCGAGACCCAACACACTGTCTCGCTGCAATACCTGGATGGAGCCACCAAAGTGATACATGGCCTCCCCGACTGGGAATCCCAACAGTATCGCCACCACAAGGACAACGCCTACGACGAAATCTCGAAGGCCTGGGCACTCGTCATCAACGAGGCGGCGAAACGCGGAGGTGGCCTCAGCCTCAGCTCGGGCGGCTGGGATCAGACATTGGCGAAACACAACGAGCACTCTGGGGGACGGATGGGGACGGCCATGAGTGCCATGGCTGCGGGCGTGGGATGGATGGGAAGCCAGAGCGGCGCCAACCCCGTCAATAACCATTCCGAGCAGAATTCCATCCTGAGTCAGCTCATGTCTGGCGCATATGGTTCGCCTGTGCGGGTGGGGCCCTGGTAGGAGACGTGACCCATTCGTCGCAGGAATTTTTAGACGAGGGCCTGCCTGCATGGCTTGAGCAGGGATATGAAGCGGCTCTACCAGCGATGTCACGACGCTTGACGACGAGTTTTGGCGTTCTGTTCTGCATTTCCTGTTTCTCCACCCCTCCCTCCCTCTCCCTCTCACTCACTATCTATCTCTTTGTCAATCGTGTCTTTTCTTCTGCCTGGGTTCATTCGCCTATCTGGCATGGACAACTGCATAGACGCAGACTTGTTGGACGGGGCAATCGCTTACGTACGTTACGGCTAGGGCCAGGGAGGATGGGCAAGGCGTTTGACTATCTGCCATACATTCAATGATATCCCCTTCGACAAACACTACGGAGGAGACTCGTTCTTATTATCTTTTATTGTTTATCTTTACTTTGTTTCTTCCATCTTGCACATGTACGTAGGTAGGTAGATCCATTTGGAAGAAGGTCATTTGGAGCCGGACGAATATAACCGGCCTTTTGATATTTAGGGTCTCTGTCTCTGAAACCACTTGACGAGCGTCTCCTCCCACCTTCGCCGTGCTGTGAGTATTTGTATCCGTACGTCGCAGTAATGGACTTGACTATCCGTATTCCCGTGGTAATTGAGACAGTGACTGATCAAAAGGACCAAAGCGCTTCACTTTGTGATGACATAATGGGGTTCGGTCCTTTTGTGACTGGCCCGAAGTACACAGTGCTTTTGTACAAGGTAGGGCTCTACCTTACTCAGACGGCGTAATGATCACATGACCGCCCGTTGCCTGGCGGCGTCTTGCCTCCTCTTGACGCGGAAACACAAGACGCGATTGACCTCATCTGGCTACGCCATAATACTGCACCTAACCACCACCTCCGAGTCAAAGCCACAATTACGGACAGCGATTGAATAGTTCTGCCCAACCGGCCGAGATTGCCGAGATTGATCTCACAACACATAACTCGACGATTACATATATGAACCACCTCATGAAAGCCACCTGCTATTCGCGAGAGTAAAGGATGCCTGCGTGCGTGTCGGCTCTCAAATCGCGTCAGACCTTGTTTCTACCTATCTTGGCGGCTAACGTGCCCATGCAGCCCAGGCGATCAGCATCTTAACAATGTTGGGAATCCCTTCGAAGAGCCGCAGAAACGCGTCTCCGAATACACGGCCCAGGAGATAGCCACGCTGCAAAGCCGCCTAGAGAGACAACTCGGTCCCGAATACATCTCTGCTCGATCCGGGCCCTCGGGGCAGAAGGTGCACTACATTGCCGCCGAAAAATGCATTGCCCTCGCAAACGAAGTATTTGGCTTCAACGGCTGGTCCTCGTCCATCCAGAACATCCAGGTTGATTTTGTCGACGAGCACCCCCAGACGATGAAGATCAGCCTCGGACTTTCCGTCATTGTCCGTGTCACATTGCGGGATGGTACATTTCACGAGGACATCGGGTACGGGCATATCGAGAACTGCAAGGGCAAAGCGGCTGCGTTTGAAAAGGCCAAGAAGGAGGGCACCACCGATGCCCTGAAGAGGGCGCTGAGAAACTTTGGTAACGTGCTTGGGAACTGCATCTACGACAAGGACTACCTTGCCAAAGTGGTCAAGTTGAAGGCTGGGCCGACGAAGTTCGATGAAAGCAGGCTACACAGGCATTCGGGTTACGCGAAGAAGGACGAGCCGGCGAGAAAGGAGGCGGAGCCGGTGAAGAAAGAAAAGACGGATGGAGAGAAGGACGCACTCGTCCGGAAGGAAATGGCAGACTCCCTCGACGAGCTCCTCGATGCCGAATTTGACGAAGCGGATTTTGCCATTGCCGAGGAGGAACATCCAGACGAGGTTGCGCTCTCTAACGCAGACTCGAATGCGTCGGACGTCTCACACCAGCGATCGAACGCTGCGCCGAACATGCAGCCTCCTGCGCGCCCCATGAGACAGAGCGGTCCGGCAGCGAACGTATCCGCCAATCCCCGGCTTCCCCAGACGCCGAACCAGCCCAACAACCCCCGAGCAAGACCGGCACCGGCACAAGGGCCGAATAACAATCGTATCCAAGGCTGGCCATCCAACGCGCCCCAACCACTTTCGCGAGCTGCCACCAACACTCCCCCGCCGAGAACTAGTACCAATACGACAGGGGAGCCCATAGCCTTCTTCTCCGCCCGGGCTGTGCAGCACGTCCCCCTAGACCTACAACCGGGCGACCAGAGCGACCCGAACGTTCCTCTCCTCCTCCCCGCCGGCCAACAAGCCTTCAACCCCAAGGCCGAGAGCCCATCCATCCGCAAGACGCCAGGTATAGACCACTCGTCTTCCAAACCGGTGGCGCGCAACGGGCAGCACGTCCCTCCCTCGTCGAGCCAGCGGGCACCCGGTGTCCAGAGTCTGGCGGCTGGGGGAGGAACGACGGGCTTCAACCCCGTCCGGCCGCAGGGTGCGGGCCCCGCCCCGGCGAACCCGCAACTGCACCAGACACGACGCATCGGCGTCCCCGGCGGACCGCCCAGTCCCCTCGCCAACAGGGGCTCGTACCGCCCGCCCACCATGGTGGGAAAGAGGCCGGCACCGGCACCGGCACCGGCGGCCATGACGGAGCCGCGTCAGCCGCTCGCGGAGGTGACGAACAAGAACGGTACTGCGGTTGCTGCGGTCGGCGCCGGTGGTGCCGCTGGGACTAATGGTGTCGATGGTGCGGCTGCGGTTGAGACTGCTAAGAGGCAGAGGACGTCCTGACGATCAAGGTCGGGGGTCGGGGGTTGGGGGTCAGGGGCCGGGGGCGAGGGAAAACTGTCGTTTGTTTTATGTGGTCCATTCTGTGGGGTTTATACGCAAGTTATGGTGCGGGATGAAGATGGATCGCGTGTTGTCTCTTTTTCTCGCCGAGGGTTGCTCTTTTTACCTCTGTTGGTGTTTCGGAGTTCCAGGTGTCTTCAGGGGAGCGAAATGGGTTAGTTATCCTGCTAAGGTAGGCGCTACATCGGGATGGGGACGGCGAGACAGCCCACCCATTGCCGCAAAATCGAGGATGAAATAACGAGTCTATTCGGGGCTAGCAAGGAGCTGTATGACAAAGATTCTTCATTTCAGCGTGCTCGGCTAATAGAAGCACAGCTCGAGTGGCTGGGGAAACTCGATTTGTGGCAGATTGAGCTGGTACGGGCATAAGAATATATAGGTGTATTGCGTTGATGTATGTACGGTCTCTATAATCTATGCCAAGCAAACACCCTCATATGTAACATGGCCCCATTGGCAATAGGGGATTTCATCATTAGACAAAAAATAAGAAGGGCGAAGGGGGGCAGAAGGTAAGACAATGCAGTAGAGGCTAATGACTTGCAACGAGGAAGATACAGATAGATGCATTCAGATCTCGGGCGAAGGGAACTCGACGCCCCTCAGCCCCAGCAACCTTTTCGCACCAAGCCAAAGCTCGAACGCTTCAAGCTTAACCTCGACTCGCACGTAGCTAACCCACGCAGCGAAGAAACGCAAGGCGTTAGGCGGCCAGAGGAGCGAGCCGCGGTTCCGCAATTCCTCGACCTTCTCCTCAAAGACGGTGCGGGTGCAATAGCGCGCAAGAATCATGAAAGTGCGAATGGGACCCTGGCGGGTGTGCAGGCTCTCGTCGAGGGAACGGGTGAGGTCGTTCGTCTTCAGGATAAGCAGGATGATGCGGGGCACCTGGCCCAGGAGCTGGACGAGGTCGGCCAGGAGCCCTTCCTGGAGGGCGTCGCCCATCTCCTTCTTCTCCTCGGCCGTGCGGGTCCGGAGAATGGACGGGCCCTTGCCGCTCGTGGTCCGTCCGGCTTCCTTGGCCGACAGCAGGCCGAAATCGCGGCCCGTAATGGCGGAGGCGAAGATGGGGAACTGCTCGTCGGTGATGTTGGCGACCTTCTTGGCGTAGTGGCGCATGCGGTCCATGTCGCCGTCGATGACGGCGAGCCACATCTTGGCGTACGACCGCCGGAGATCGCGCGGGATGTCGCGGTACAGACCGTGGTCGTACAGGATGATGTCGAAGTTGTGGCCGCGCAGCCGGCCGCGGGCCTCGTTCTTGCGGATGGCGAGGTTGCCGCCGTGCGGATCGCAGTGGAGCGGCGCGTCGGCGCCGAAAATCATCTCGCTGAAGATGCGCGCCAGGCAGGCCGAGACGTCGTCGCGGTCGATGCCGTTCGCGTCGAGGTATTCGAGGTCGTCCAGGCGGCGGCCGGACTCGCGGGCCATGACGAGGATGCGCTGCTTGGCCCACAGCACTTGGGGTACGACGAGCGGGTGTTCGGGCAGGCGGGCGAAATGTTCTCGGGTGCGCTTCGCGTTGTGGGCTTCTTCCCTGAAGTCCAGCTCCTTGGGAAGCGACACGTCCATCTCGGAAGAGAGCCATTCGAGATCGTACTCGGGGAAGAAGCGCTTCAGGGTCGAAAATGTGAACCTCGTCAGGCTGAGGTCTAGGGGCGCCCACTGCGCGAGTCCTGGGTGCTGGACCTTGACGGCCACCTTCTGTCCGGTTCCCCGGATGACGGCAGTGTGGACTTGCGCCAGGGATGCGGCGCCGATAGGCTCTCTGGAGAACTCGGAGAAGTAGTCGAGGAGTTCTCCGCCCGTGTCTCGCCTGTACATATTCTCGATCGATTCGTATGACGAAACGGGGCATTTATCTTGGAGGGGGATGAATGTCGTGGTCCATTCCGTTGGAAGAAGGTAGTTCATTGCACTCTGGAAAGCCGTCAGTAGGGAGAACGGAAACCCGCAGCGTTGTCACCCTAATGTTGAACCAAAACGTACCAGATGTTGTCCCAACTTGATGAAGATGCCCCCGTTCTTCTCCAGCACCTTCAAGGTTCTCTCGGCGCATCTCTGATGGCAATCGCTCAAAAGAGTTGCGCGTCTCTGTTCGTCATCCTCCTTCTCCCGTTGGTTTAACGTCGTTCGATAACTGGCATGGCATCATCAGCACAGTCCGTGGGAGGCTCAGGGGTAAGTTGTCAGCACGAGGTTTGCGTACTCGTTGATACACACCGCCAAGGCGGCAGCTACACGACCTGCCCGTTCGGCAGCCTCGTAGCCGTATTTAATATCGTCGGTAAAGGCCAGAGCGCCGACGGTAGCGGCACCACCGCCGGAAGCGAGGAGGACGATCCCGTTCCGAGTGTTGCGAGGACTCGCGCGGCCGGTCGTCCAGGCCCTGGAGGCCCTAGAGGAGGAGGACGCGAACCCGCGAGAGCCCGTGAAGCGCGGCGCCGTACGCCGGCCCGATGCGGTGCGACAGTCGCCGCAAGTCCATCCTGTCGCCCGCTGTCGCGTGCCGAGCCGGCGCAGCGGGGCGGAAAACACCGAGAAGACTTTCATTTAGACGATGCTGTCCAGCTTTCCTCCGGTATCCTGACTGAAACAAGCAGAAGACGTCGATATCATCCTAGCATTGGAGGATAAATGGAACGAAAAAAGAAAATGCCATAAAAAAGGAGGTGCATGGATGGGGGCAACAAGCCCGTGTCTATCGAAATCAAATTCTTTGGAAAATCGTTGAAACTGGTTCCCCCCTTCGGAATGAGAGGCGAAAAAGAATATTACTTGTTTGTAGCGAAGGTAAGGTACTCTCTCGTACGACCAGAATCAGATAAGATACCGCGCCCGCAATGGAGGTACCTTACCTTGTGCACATGTGCCTTGGTGGATCTATGCGTTTAAGCAACCTGTACCGCAGGTAAAGGTGGGGCATATTGAGACGACCTCGGCCAAAGAGTACAGCGTGACTCGACTGACAAGAATTGAACAGACTGTCAGAATCTTGTATGATATAAGTAAGCTTGTGTGGGGTTCTACTTCTAGGTTTCTCCGTGCTGATACTGTGGATTTTAAGACCCGGTGGTATGGGGGGCCAATCATCGGAAGGCTCTTCAGTAGTTGCATTTATCGAGGTACTCTTACCACTACGCGAAAATATCACAATTTCGGGGTAGTTTAGTAAAAGCCCCACATGACATCGCGGTCGATGGCCACAACGAACCGCGCTCCGCGTTATCCTTGGACATCCCACACCAGAACACGCCCTCCATCCTCTAGAGACACGTACATTCTCTAATCCTCTTCCCTTCCTCTTCCCTTGAGTTTATCGCGTGTGGGACTCGACCTTCACCCATAAAGATAATTTCACTTCACTTCAGCTTCTTCTACATATTGTAGTCTGATGAGAAAAGACGACTCGGCTCTACCGTCCTACAACACACACGACAACATGTTCGCCATCGCCACCATGCCCGCTTTCCCAGCTCCAACTGGTGATATGAGCACCAATCCATCTTGGAACCACAAACACAGTCAGAATCATTACCGTCCATCAGCCTCATCCCCGCTCTCCTCATCACCCATTCGCGCGACTTCTCCGCTTTCCCCCCGCTCCGAAAACGACCTCAACTACATCACACGTCAGACCCAGTCCTCTCCGATATCCTCCTCCGGCCCAGCATCCAAGTACTTCAGATACGCAACACGGCAGATCAAACCAAACCCCCGACAACAACGGCGGGAAGAGGCCCAAGAAAGCCGGCGGAAGCTCTTCCTTCAGAACGTGCGGCAGCGTGCTGATGACAGAACATACCAACGAAGAGATGTCGAGGGCAAGGTCAGTCCAATCCAACCAAAACTCTCCACGGGTCTAAGTCTGATGACTTCACCCCTTCCCCTTCCGCTTCCCCTCCCCCTCCCGTTTTCTCCTCTGCTTGGCTGTTCTCGGGACAGAATGCTGATGCATATTTCTGCAGCTACTCAAGTCGAGTTGGGATCGCGAAATGCGGCAACGCATCCTCACGAAACGGATGGAGGGCGACGCCTTCTTCTCCGAGGCGGACATCGATGATGCGGCCGAAATCTTGATTCAGGAACGCCAGCGTGAGGACGTCGGTCAGGTACGGCAATCCGATGCCAATGCGGATGAAATGATGGTCGATGAGATTGCCCTGCAGGAAGAGAGGGAACTAGAAGCGCTCCTCATGTCCTACGACGAGCGACCGGCTGGACAACAATCACAAGACGTCGTGCAACGGCCGGATCCCCCCAGCCTATCGGATGACGAAGACTACGATGCCATATTCATGGAGTTGGCATCCGGGTCTGAGGGTACGGACCTCGTTTCTTCACAACAGATGGACATATCATGAGTACTGCTGTGGATGTTTGATTAATTAGACTGTACATGTGAGAGACATGGTCATACTTCGGTACATGCTGATGGTTCTTGGCTTCGGGCGTTCTCGATTTCCGGCTGGGCGTTTAGGGGCAGTTCTGGACTTGGGGGTGTTGGACAGTATTTGTATTATTCCCAGGGGTGTACACAGGAACACTCCCCAATTGTTAACATATATGCGATAGCGGACGGGTATACATGGGACAGATTAGACGCCCAGATGCTTTTTTTTTTGCTTTTCTTTTTCCTTTTACTTCCTTATTGGGGATTGCATGAATCGTCGGGCATGCTCAGCGCCTCCTGCGCAGATGGCATATCACCAACCAAATCTGCAGGTGGTGACCCCAAATCTTGCATCTAATACAAAGTTCCGTGATCAGTCCGTTGTTCCAGTACACGCCGACGCCTGGAGGCGACGTGCGGCAGGGGGAGCGGGCTTACCTTCTGCATCCTCTCTACGATGTATTCTCGATCCGCCGAGTTGGAGTCAGAGTAAGTGGTCTCGTCGAATTTGCCGACAATTTCCATCACGAGCACCCGCTGCTCCTCGTACCGCTTCAGCTCCTCAACCGGCGTCTTGTCCTTGTTCTTCTCCAGCCACTCGGGGAACTTCTCGTCCAGTTCCTTCATGGGCTCGTACAAGATTTCCTTGTTGGTGAGCTGCTCCATCATGCCCATGAGCATTTTGGAGAAGTCCTCGTCGTTCCCGCTGCCGCTGCCGTCTCCGCCCAGCTGCTTCATCATCTCGGCCAGGAGATCCTCCGTCGCGGATTCGGTCGCCGCCGCTGTGGCCTGTTCGCCGGAGGCTTGCATGCGCTCCATCGTACGACGGATCGTCTCTTGGAAAGAACTTTCGGCGCGGTTGCTGTCTGACGTCGAGGGCCTCGGTCCTGCGGCCGAGGCTGACGCTTTGCTGTCGTCCGCCGCGGTCTCGCCGGTACCAGCATTGCTAATTTCCTTGAAGACCTCGTCAAACTGGGCTTGCATTTCGGGCTAGTGTCACGGGTGTCAGCTGTCAAATATTTGCGAGGGCGACATTCGAAGGATGGGATAGGCGCGTACGTTCTTCTCGAGTTCGCCTATGAGTTCGGCCATGCCGGCTTGTAGCTGCTTGGCGAATTCGTCGTCGCCGAGAACGTCGTCCAGACTTTTGTCCGCCTGATCTGCGCTGCTAGCCCCCTTGACAGCCTCTGGTGGACTTGGTCTTCCAGGGTCGACGGCACCAACGGGTTGTTTCGCATCGAGTTTCACTGACGAGAACTCGTCCAACATGTCTAGGTTTCGTCAGAACATGTAATAATATGATAGTCCGATCGCATATGGTGGGCTTTACCATCCAGATCGTCCAAGTCATCTTCGTCCGGATCTGGAACATCGTCGACCTGATCTATTGGTTTCTTGTCCTGAGCTTGAGCAGCAGAGGCTTTCTTTTCCTCCTCCGCCTTTGCCCCCGGAGTGTCGCTCATCGTATAGATGTTTTGGAGGGTTTGAATGGCCCGGCTTGGGACGGGAATCCGAAGTTTTAAACTGAACCTCCGGGCCGTGCCTTGCAATGTTCCCACCCTGGCGAAGTCCTTCAGCCGCAGCGCGTCTTGGCCGTTCAGAGTCCAATAGGACCGGGGAGACCAAGTGCGAAAGCGATCCAGTCGATCGGAAAGCCAGTGACAGCGATGAATAAGGCAAAGTGAACTGCAGGGGCCGTGGTTGATTATGCCCGCAACCTCCTGGCTATTATTTGTTTATCTGCCCTAAGAGACCAGGGGAAATGCACATGAAAGCCGAGGTGAGTTGCGGACATTGGCGGGGGCGGGGACGGTGGGGAATTATGAATACAGTGGGGGAGCTGGCGAACACAGACAACCTAGATGTATGATTACGTAACCATGCGCTTCAATGGTTGTCATCAAAGAGGAAAAAGGAAGGGAGCAAAATTTAGAGCCAGCCATGGCGATGCGAGTGCTCAGATCTCTTCTTTCAAGTACCCACTACTTATACTGCCATTCATTCTCCATTCTGTATTATTCTATCCAGAGGTACAAAGACTTTCTGTTCTGGCAATACCTTAAGCCATCTTCCTTCTGCTGGGAGTCGGGACCGGAAAACGGTTAAGGTGGGGGGTTAAGAGTTCTGCCGCCCCCGCGATAGTAGAACCTTTTACCGCCTTCCTGATTGCGCGAAAGGGCTGTAGCTTTCGCTGGGACCCTTCTAACTTGCCACCGCTCAACCAACAGACAGACTCGGGGAGTTCTTTGACAGACAATAACCCCCCAAATTCTCACTAACAGTCGGGTGTATTGGCGCTTCTATTCCAAGACGTGAAATACCACCTAGCTTTGTTTGGTTCCGTCCAGAGGAGTGATCAGGATTCAGGACCGCTGGTTGGGCCTCCCACCCAAGACCGTATCAACAGCGTTACAGAGCCAAGTGGTTGGGTCCAGATCGGGCAATCCAGGCATCATGGCTCTCTGCCAGAACAGACTTCAAGAGGAGAGGTTCGTGTCACGACTCGTCGGATTCCCCTTAAAATTATACTGCTGACAGCAGCACCCATCAGGAAGCAGTGGAGGAAGGACCACCCGTTTGGCTTCTACGCGAGACCGCAACGCACGGCAGCGGGCACCCTCGATCTGAAGGTTTGGGAATGCGGAATTCCCGGAAAGGAGAGGACGATATGGGAAGGTGGCCTGTTCAAGCTCACGATGACATTTCCCGATGGTGAGTATTTTGGTCTCTCTTGAAAACAGTCGTGGATCCGCGATGAGAATCCGGCTCGCTAACAACGAGATACTCTCCACGTCAGAATACCCCACGAAGCCTCCTAAATGCGAGTTGCCCTGCTTTGGGTTCCCTTCTCCCTTTCTCTCGAGGCAGATGAACTAATGTAAATGAATGTCACAGGCAAATTCGTCCCCCCGCTGTTTCACCCGAATGTCTACCCGTCCGGCACCGTTTGCCTGTCGATTCTTAACGAAGAGGAGGCCTGGAAGCCTGCAATCACAGTCAAACAGATTCTCTTGGGCATCCAGGAGCTTCTGAACACTCCGAACCCAGAGTCTCCTGCGCAGGCCGAGGCGTATAGCTTGTTCAAGAAGGACAAGAACGAGTACGAGAAGAGAATCCGCCGCGTCGTACGAGATAATCCGGCAACGTTCTGAGAAGGTACTCGACGCTGCGCTGCGCTACGCTACGCTACTTTACTTTACATGGCCATGAATGGGTGGACTACATTTCCTCGCCTTCACCCCTCAAGCTGGATGAAGACGCTGCTCTGGACGGAGTTGGGTATGAAATACCACTTTTTTGTTTGCTTTTTTTTTTCGCGGGGATAATTGCGTTTTTTTGCCGTTTTCGAGGCCAGTGGATGAAGGAAGCATTCCATTTAATAGCGCCGAGTGACGAGATAGCCGGGCTCTGTCGGAGCATGGATCTATGTTCCATTGCCAAGTCATTGGGATGGCACAAACAGAATCATCGTCTCTATGTTAATGCCAACAGGGCGATATTTGCTTGAGCGTCTGCGATGGGCATGTAGCCAAGACCAGTAAATGGAAATGCAACAGAATCTCTGGGACGTCTCGTCTTGTCTTGTAGTAGGATTCCGTGTTACGTATCTTAGGTGCGGAATACACCAGATCATATGCAGAAAGATCGAGACAACTATTTCTCATGTGTACGGTAGTATAATATTACCTACATTGAACTTGGGAGCTCCCGTCTATGACACTATCTCTCGAGAACTACGGAGTAGAAGCTGTTCGCCAGAGAGAGTGGTGGTCATGACATTATGACACACCGTGAAAGTCCGGTACCGGCGCGTGGGTTCCCTTATCAATGCCTGTTTAGGCAGTGGGAGACGCGAGACGACGAAACAGCTCAGTCAGGGGTCCAATAGTCACAGGTCCCGAATTTCAAGTGTGTAAGGTACCTACCCAACTGGTAATTATAACATACACTTGATGGCGAATGGGGGCCGATGCTCCCCGAGATACGGAGCGAACCGTTGTTGACGGGTTTGGTCTTTTGGTCTCGTGAGTCCTCTTTTCCAAGAACGACGAGTAGAGCTGAGGGAGTCGGCCTATGACTTTTTTTCCCTTTCTTTTTTTCAACCTTCAAAAGTGACAGGAGGCGAAAGGGTTTCCACACGAAGAATCTGCAGTTTGTACGTACTTAGGTAGGGAGTCTCCATGTCTCCATTTTCTCTATCTTGTACGGAGTAGTTTGCCCCCTTAATGGGGAACTGGCTACGACACGGAGGGGAGGGCAAAAAAAAAAAAAAAAAAAATCGAACTTGGGAGGCAAAGAGTCATACCTCCCCCCTAGGCGATTTACCAAGAGGTACTTAGCTCGACCCAAACCCACCTTCTAGAAGCCTTGGGGGTGCTTTTCTCTCTACTCCGTATCTAATTATTTTCTGTCCTTTCTTGAACCTGAACTCGTTCCTTTTTCACCTCCTCCCTCCACCTTCTCCGAGTCCCCCGTCTCAGCAACCTTAGTGTCGTCCACGAGAAACTCTACAACCATGTGCGGCATCTTCGCGTGTCATCGGTAAGTACTCCGTACTTTGATTCTTTGCGCCGTTGTGTGACTTCTTTCGTTGTCCCGCAACCGGCCGCGGCTGCGGTTGCGGTTGCGATTTGCGCAGATGGAGGGGCACCAGAAATTACTGCCAAAAAAGCCACCACAACCAGGACCACAACCACGACCACGACCGTTACCAGCGGCGGAGGGGCTTTTCTGTTGCCCGTGATGCTAACATAGCTGCGACCAGTCACCCCGACGTTCACAAGTTCAAGCCGACAGCTCTTCGGCTAGCCAAGGCGTATGTCGTGATCATATCCCCTCCCCCTTGTCTATCTGGTTGAGTCGCATTGATTGACGTATCTTGGCAGTGTCCGGCATCGGGGTCCTGATTGGAGTGAGTCCTGAATCCAACACACAGGGGAGAAGAGAACACTCAATTCTAACGCTCGGAAAACAGGTGGCAACGTCATTGCCAACAACACAAGTGAGCGAGCCTCTTTTTTTTTTTTTTTTTTTTTTTTCGTCCTGAACCGCGACCCCGAGGAGCCATTAATTGACCTTGATTATAGTTCTTTGCCATGAGCGACTCTCCATCGTCGGTGTCGGTGAGTCACGACTTAACCCCTATGACTTAGCCCCCCTTTTGGCCCTTCTTCGACTACAGCATCAACATCCATGATGCCCACGTACAACGGCCCCTTGATTGCCCAGTGCTGACTATATGCACAGAGTCCGGCGCGCAGCCACTCACTAGTCCCGACGAGAACATCATCCTCGCTGTCAACGGCGAAATTTACAACCACCGTCTGATTCGAAAGGGCCTTAAGAATGACTATCACTACAAGACCACCTCGGATTGCGAGGTCATTATTCCTCTCGTGAGTTGATTCGCCATTCTCGCTCTCGTTGGCCTTCTACTTTTTGGCGCTTGCCTCGGGGTTGAAGGACATTGGCATTGGCCGCTAACGGCGACTTAACTTGTGCCTCGTAGTACATGGAATATGGCCTTGATGCGCCGAAACATCTCGACGGCATGTTCTCCTTCGTTCTCTACGACAAGAAGCAGGACCGGACTATCGCTGCCCGCGATCCCATTGGCATTACCACTTTCTACCAGGGATGGTCTTCCAAGGAGCCCGGCGCCGTGTATTTCTCTTCCGAGCTCAAGTCGCTACACCCCGTCTGCGACAAGATCCAGGCCTTCCCCCCAGGCCATGTGTTCGACTCGGCGACGGGTGAACTTACCCGATACTTCCAGCCTTCCTGGTGGGATCCCGCAAAGGTTCCCAGCACACCGCTGGACCTGAAGCTCCTGCGGGAGAAACTAGAAAAGTCGGTCCGCAAGCGTCTCATGGCCGAGGTGCCCTACGGCGTCCTTCTGTCGGGTGGCCTGGACTCGAGCTTGGTGGCCTCTATTGCCCAGCGGGAGACGTTGCGCCTGAAGAAGGCGGCCCTGGAGGCCAACGCCGGCGCGGACCCCGTGCCCGAGAACCCGGACTCCGGCGAGGGCCTTGTCGGCATCGACGACGACAACACGCTGTCCACCGTCACCTACCTGCCGCAGCTCAACTCCTTCTCCATCGGCCTGCCGGGCGCCCCCGACAACAAGGCCGCCCTGGAGGTGGCCAAGTTCCTGGGCACCAAGCACCACGTCATGACCTTCACCGTCGAGGACGGCCTCAACGCGCTCTCGGATGTCATCTACCACCTCGAGTCGTACGACGTCACCACGATCCGGGCCTCGACGCCCATGTACCTGCTGTCGCGCAAGATCAAGGCCATGGGCATCAAGATGGTGCTCAGCGGCGAGGGAAGCGACGAGACCTTCGGCGGGTATCTCTACTTCCATGCGGCCCCGGACAAGAAGGCCTTCCACGAGGAGACGGTGCGTCGCGTCAAGAACCTGCATCTTTCCGATTGTCTCCGCGCCAACAAGTCGACGTCGGCATGGGGCTTGGAGGCCCGCGTTCCGTTCCTGGACAAGGAGGTGAGTGTTGTGATAGACCCCTATTAGATGGCCGCCACTTCACGTATGCCCGTACTAATATGCCATTTTTCTTCTTCTTTTCTGTGCAGTTCCTCGAGCTGGCCATGAACATCGACCCTCAGGAGAAAATGATCACAAGCGAACGCATTGAGAAGTACATCCTGCGCAAGGCGTTCGATACTTCGGACGAACCCGGCGCCGAGCCTTACCTGCCGGATAACATCCTCTGGAGACAAAAGGAGCAGTTCTCGGACGGCGTCGGATACGGCTGGATCGACGCGCTCAAGGAGAACGCGGAGATTCATGTGACGGATGAGATGATGAAGAACCCCAAGCCGGAGTGGGGGGACGACATTCCGGATACCAAGGAAGCGTGAGTCGTCCTTGGGTCTGGTCCTGTGGGGATGTCATGAGCATGAGCGAAGTATGGTGTTGCTGACGAACAATTACGACGTATAGGTACTGGTACCGGCTTATGTTCGATGAGCATTTCCCTCCTCACTGCGCCTCGACCGTCCAGCGGTGGGTGCCGACATGGTCGAAGCAGACCGACCCCAGTGGAAGGTGAGTAGTATTCCCGAGGATGAGATGGATCTTTGATAAAATGAAAGGACGGGGACTAATGAGTCACATAACAGAGCCATCGCCATCCACAACCAGAAGTATAAGACGGCGGCGTAAAGGGGGGGGGACGGAACGAGCTGGCTGTAGACGCACGAGGTGAAGGGGAGATAAAGAAAACGGGACTCGGGAGATGGCTCCAGGGTAAAGGGGTGATCAATGTTTCATGGCGATGCTAGAACATACTCCTATGGCTGGATTCGCTGGACTCCAGGATGGGTGCCGGATAAAGATGAAATGATATAGAAATGCAAGCATTGAGCAAGGCCTTTCTACCGTGTTTCGGTTTCTATTCCGGGGAAAGTGCATAAACTGCGCGGTTTAAGGTCCCTCATGACGATGCGTTTCATGCGCGCTGGTTCCCTTGCCAGTGGTGTTGTCCCGTTGTCCAAGGCCAACTGACAAGCCATTGAAACGTCTCTCACCTGACGGGGAATTTTACTGGGTCACCCCAAATTAGCTCCCAATTCTCCCCAACAATCATCAATGCACCCAATCACAGCACGTCCACGTGGGGTCAAAAGTACTCGTTACAGACTAGCGTGTCTCGTCACATGAGAGCATTGAGGTCACGTCTTTTTACCGGGCCGAGTTACGCCGGGATCTCTGACAACCAATGGACGAGCTCTAAACGAATTTCCCTGGGCTTCCATTCCGGCAGTCGACTTTCTGTTAGGTACTGCGTATTCCGTACTCCTGGGGGAAAAAAAAGGGAAAAAAAAAGGGACAACCCCCAAGTACTCCGTAATTACCTGCACTTGCTTTACCGCGCCCTTTTTCCACGATTGCCTCATCTCTTTTTCTCGTTACATACTTCCATCTCTCCATCCATAATCTACGTCGTACCATCATACTCCTTAATCACCCCTTTCCTCCTCTTCCACAGTCAAGATGGCCGTCCCCAACTTTGCCGATATCGCCAAGGCGAGCAACGACGTATGTCATGTCTTCCCACGCTTTCTATCCATTCCATTTTGACCTGGCTGCCGAGGTGGTCTCCTTGAGCTCCCTCGGCCAAAACAAAACAACCAAACGGAATCGCATGACGTGGCCATCAACTGATTGATTCACGGATGCATTCTCTGAATACTCGACCATCTTCCAGATGAATTGAAAGCTAAACTATATCCTCTCTACTAGCTCCTCAACAAAGACTTCTACCATCTCTCTGTCGCCACCTTTGAGCTTAAGAGCAATGCGCCCAACAATGTCGCCTTCAAGGTGACCGGAAAGGCCTCTCACGAGAAGGCCACCGCCGGAGCTGTAAGTTGTGCTCTCACACCACTGATTGGCTTTCTATATGCATCGCACTCGGTCATGGAGAGCTTCAGCTAACGTTTCCTTTCTTCTTCCTCCATCGCAGCTTGAGGGCAAATACGTCGAGAAGGGCACTGGTACAACACCCCCGTCCAACAGCAACAATATGCAAACTGTTATTTCTGGACGTCGTTATATTAGAGGGTCGATCCTCCAAGTGGCTCGGATCTCGCCCGACTACGCAGACGTCCCAGTGGACGTCGCCGTCAGACTCAGTCCTCCGATCTGGCTTCTGGCTTGAAGGTGCTAACATCGTACTGCATGACAGGCCTCACCCTCACCCAGACCTGGACCACCACCAACGCGCTCGACACCAAGGTGGAGCTCGCCGACACCCTGGCCAAGGGCTTCAAGGCCGAGGGCATCTTCAGCTTCCTCCCCGCGACCCACGCCACCGGCGCCAAGGTCAACCTCCACTTCAAGCAGCCCAACTTCCACGGCCGCGCCTTCTTCGACCTCCTCAAGGGCCCCGTCGCCAACATCGACGCCGTCGTCGGCCACGAGGGCTTCCTCGCCGGCGCCTCGGCCGGCTACGACGTCAACAAGGCCGCCGTCACCAACTACTCCGCCACCGTCGGCTTCACCACCCCCGCCTACACCGCCGCCATCGCCGCCACCGAGAACCTGAGCGTCTTCGCCGCTTCGTACTACCACAAGGTCAACAGCCAGGTTGAGGCCGGTGCCAAGGCTACCTGGAACTCCAAGACCGGCAACAACGTCGGTCTCGAGGTTGCCAGCAAGTACCGCATTGACCCCGTCTCCTTCGCCAAGGTTCGTCTCCACTCCCTTCCCCCCCATTTCTTTCCTTTCTGTTATGGTTTCCTAATCTGCGGGTGCTTCACTCCCCCCCGTAACAGGTCAAGGTCAACGACCGCGGTGTTGCTGCTCTCGCCTACAACGTCCTCCTCCGCCCCGGCGTCACTCTCGGTCTCGGCGCATCCTTCGATACCCAGAAGCTTGACCAGGCCACTCACAAGGTTGGTTTTTACCCCACTCTATAAACCCTATGTCGTGATGATCCAAGGCCAGCTGACTGTCAACCTGCTGCAGATTGGCGGTAGCTTCACCTTCGAGGGCTAAGCTAGTACTTTTTGGGACATTTCGCCCAAGAGGGGTTGCCCCGTACCGTGGCCGGAATTAGGTACCCGTTCCATCGTGTGCAATATAAATAATCCTTTCGTCGCCTTGGGGGCTTGGGGTCTCGGGGTGGTCACCCGTTTCGATGTAGATTAGTTCATCAGAGGATAAATGATTCCCAGAAGGGGCGGCTGATGCGCCTCGAGAATATTTATTGTGCCACGAAAATGGTGCTCAAAGTGCTGCGATGTTAGTGTAAGGAAAAGGGAGAGAAAAAAAGGACAAAAAGGGATTTCAAGACGCTTAGATACGTCTAAAGATCATGTCGCTGAGCTATATATACCTTAAGGGTCCATCCCCCCCCCCCACCGGCAGCCCCGTAAAAGCGGCATAGCCAGTATAAGGTGTCCTCATTCTATCCCGCCCGGCTCTTCTTAGTCTTCCTCTCTTTCCTCTTCCCGCCTATCAACCCACCAAAGAGCACACAGGGTATGAGGAACGTCAGCACCAAGATGCTGCTGACGGCGAAAAACCCACCGATGGCGGATTCTTGCGACCCATCAGGCCCTCCTCTTCCTCCCCCGCCCCCGGGGCCCCCGCCAAGGGAACCGGAACCACCACCACCACCACCACCGGCGGCGCGCCACGCCCTCCGACGGTCCTGCTCGCGCTGCGTGCGCTGATGGCCCGCGCGGTCGAAATGCGGCATCGACCCGTCAAGCGTATGTCCGAACGGGTCCTGCCCGGGCCCCATGCCGCCCCGGGCCCCTAAGGCCGTCCACCCCGCGGCGCCGGCGCCTGCCTCGGGATGAGACGGGTCGGGTTCGTTTTGCGGCCGGTGCTGTGTCCCTCCTCCTCCTCCTCCTCCTCCTCCTCCTCCCGCGGCGGCACTGCTGTTGGCTCCGTGGCCGTGGCCGTTTGCATGGGCATGGGCGTGAGGGTGCCAGCTCGCATTCTTATAGAAACTGGGCGGTGGGCCGCGGAAGGGGGTGCGGCGGCGGGAGAGGCCCGTGGCGGGACGGCCGCCTGCGTGGCCCGAGGAGTGGTAGGAACCTCGAGGGGCGACGCCGCCGGCCTGCGCGGACGAGGGTGACAGGCGGTTGAGGTCGCGGTCGTAGGCGGCGCGTTTGGCGGGGGTGCCGAGGATGGAGTAGGCTTCGGAGAGGGCGTGGAATCTGGCTGTCGCGGTGGGGTTATCGGGGTGGTGGTCTGGGTGGCATTTCTTGGAGAGGGCGTAGAAGGATCTGCCAGAGCGTTCTGCGTTAGCTTTGGTGGAACTGGGGGGAAAGAGCTCGGGGAGAGAAAAGAGGATGGCGTAATGGCGTAATATAGATATGTGAGTCCCACGCACTTTTTGATCTCTGCCGGCGAGGCGGTTCGCGCTACGTTGAGGGTTTCATAGTGATTCCGACCGGCGCTGGCGGGGGGATTACGGCCGAGATGGAAGGGGAAAGTGGTGGAAAAGCCGCGACGGCATGGGCGCAAGGCTGGGCTTGTCGGCCTCCAGACCAAGCTGCCACTGTTGCTGTTGCTGGTCACACGGCAGCGGAGAGGGAATGCCGCTCGGCGTGTGAGCTGGATGTATGGCATGCCTCATCCCCACTGATTGCAATTGATTTGTTTGGGAGGAGAGTGAGAGACTGAGGAGAAGGGGGGCAAGGGAGTGAAGTGGTCAACGAAGTTGGCATTGACTTGCGGAACTTGCGCTGACGTCGTTTATGTAAGGTAGGTACGGCTACGTATTGTACGAAGTATCCCGTACCCTCTTGTGAGGCGGCTTCGGTGACGAAATTGACAGCACGTGTACGTACCGATTATTCGTGGAGACACTGCGTCCGGAGCTTACCTTATAATTTCGGTACCTTACCTAAGCTGATGCACCACTATGCCGTTGTGCAATTGTGCATGCATTATTTGTGCGAGGATTCAATGCACGGGGGTAATTATAAGTATTCCGGTGTCTTAAGGTATGAACCGGATGCAAAGACCGACCTCCATAACTTCTACATAATTCTTACGACTCTTCCACCATGACCATGTCTCTCTTTCTTTCTCTTTGCTTTAGAAATCTACTTCTGTCCTCTTCTTCTCATACCAACTGGAGTTGCTTTTCGATGTGAAATTATAGGTACGGCTTGGTATATGTCCGCATTGACTCCCACCCACCAGGGGCCAATGATCAAAATCTCAAGTTTCAGTGTCCGGTATTTGCTGTTCTTCATCTTGTGCTTTCATCTCTTGCTTTCTCGTCATACTCTTTCCTTATTCATTTTTTAAGCAAACAATAAAATATCTCAAGACGTCCGCAAGGGACGCTTCAGCGGATGTGCCTCCGTATTCAACACCCACTCGTCCAAGCTGATCAGGGTATCATTCGAAAAGACAAGGTAAAAGTACTTGAGCGTCTCGGAAAACCAGAAACTCTCCATCGAATCGGTCTTGTCGGTCTCGACACCGGCAGGCAGGTCCACGCTCCGGATGGACGAGTAGGCGAGGGGCGTCTCGGTGGCGGCAACAATGGCCTGGAACATGGCCCAGGCGGCCTCGCGCCAGGCCTTGTCGCCAGTCAGGCGCCACATGTAGAAGACGCTCTCGATGGCCTCGGGCCGGAGGAGGTAGCTCGCGACGCGGACGGAGCGGAACCCGGGCGGGAGTGCCTCTTTGGCGTTGCTGTTGCCGTTGCCGTTGCTGTTGCTGCTGCTGTCAACACTGCGGGAGGCCTTGGCGGCGAAAACGTCCTCGTCCCATGTACAGGGCGCGTGGAGGTCTTTGTTGTCTTTGTCGGCGGGTTCTCGTTCTTCCTTCAGCTCGGCGCAGGCGACGTGGCTGCTGATCTCGGGCATGACGCCCAGCGGGAAGGCGGCGTAGGCCCAGACGCAGCCACGGGTCAGCTTCTCGGCGAGGGGCATGTAGTCCGCGCGGCCGAGCAGGCGGGAGGCGAGGCCGTACATGCCGCCGGCGAAGCAGGAGAGGTGCTGCATCTCCGGGTCGAGGTCGAGGGTGGCGTCCTTGTGGTTGTAGCGGGCGTTGCCCGGGAAGAGGATGTCGGCGTCGTCGGGGACCATGGGGCGGAAGAGCAGGTGCTGGGCGATGGCGTCGAGGGCCTCCTCGGCCATGGCGGCGTACTGGCGGTCGAGGCCGCCCAGGAGGGCGTGCATCTTGGGGAGGTACTCGTAGAGCGAGTCGGCCTGGCCGCCGATGCTGAAGTGGGTGTCCTGGGCGCGGCGGTTGCGGTAGTCGAGGAAGACGGGCCAGATGCCGGGCGCCTTGGTCCCGTGCTGGGTGGCGCGGAGGAACTCCTTAACGCGCTCGGTGGCGTCGTAGTACTTGGGGTTGCCGGTGAGCTGGGAGAGGCGGGTGAACTCGAGGCTCAGGGAGCAGCCCGAGGCGGAAGGGTCGCGGTCGCCGGCCTTTTGGGTCCCGAGCTTGGCGGCGGCGAACTCGAACCAGAAGGGCGGCATGCGGCTTGCGGTGTCGAAGCCCAGGTAGAGCATGTCGCCGAGCTCGACGGCCTTGGCGAGCAGGACGGGCTCCCCGCTCAGGTCGTAGGCGGCGAGCAGGCCGCCCAGGTGGCGGATGGTGGTCTCGAACATGTTGATGGACGTCAGCGTGGTGTTGTCCCAGTCGATGGTGGCCACGGCGCGGACGGCCTGCTGGAAGTCGTCGTGCATGCCCATGATCCAGAGGGTGTCTAGGCTGTCGACCAGGGTGGCAGCAAAGCCGCCGAACGTGTTCTTCCCACGGCCGGAAACGGGCCTGAGCTCATCCCAGGTCCAGGCGTGTTCCTTGTAGCTATCCCAGCTCCTCCGGAAGGCATGGAGGACGGCGTTTCTACGGGATTCGTTGACATTGCCGTCCTCGGAGTGCTGTTGCTGGGTATTATCATCACCATCATCATCATCATCTTGATCTGCTGCCGTAAAGTCGTGCTGCACCTTTGGGAACTCCATCGGAGACCCCTCGGGCATGGGACGCAGGTCGGTGACGGGGTACTGCAACCTCAGGTTGGCCCAGTCATAGGTGGAGCTGCGGTAAAGGATGCCTTTGATGGTCAGATGGCGAGAATGGAAGCGGGGGACGCCTTTCCACCAGAAGATGATGATGACGAGGGCGGCGACATAGAGGATTGAGCGCCTTGAGAACCGGCGGGAGGCGATCATGGTTATTAATAGAATAAATAATAACAAAACCTCGGCTTTTTTCTTCTTCTTCTTTTTCTTCTTCTTCTTCTCTTTTTCGATAGACCTTAATCAAAGACTTCGACGGAGAAACGCAAGACAGCGAGAGCGCCTCAACACGTCAGCATTGCTCTCCTGGAGGCTGGTGGCTGACGACGGTGCCGAGATGAATTGGGACTTGGCAGTCTTCTAATGTAAGTGAGTGGCTGAGAGAGAGACTGTTCATCTCATACACTCATGTCGTCTATTTTTTTCTTTCTTCGTATCATTACGCGTCGAAGATAAAAATCGTCATTTTGGTGAAAGAAGCAAGTTGTAGAGTGAGGGAGGATGATGGTTGATGTTGTATTGTAATTAATTAGTAGGAGTTCATGTCAGATTTCTTATGACATGTCCATCCCAATCCACCTGAAGCAAGAGCGACCAAGGTACCTCCTTCCTTGTAAAACAGTACGGTCCCACAGATAGGTACCGACGCGTGTTTGGAGTAACTAAGGTACTCGGAGATGTTAGTCATCAAAATTTTCCAGGGGCCGAAACGGCATCTCCGACAACGGACCGATGATCAGATGGACCCGGGTAAAGTACCGAGTACTTTGTGCTTCACTCATAAAATCACCTCTCACCCTAAAAAGTACGAACGAGATATTCTGATAATGAATAATAAATATCCGATATTCAACACGCAAAGCCAAAAACATACCGTCAGCATCATCATCATCATCATCATCATCTCGCCATCAGTAAAGCCATGTTACCATCCTAACGACCCAAGTTCGACCGGTCTCGTGAACGAAAATATCTTATATCTTATTCCAGATCCCTATCGGCATTCCGGACCCTCTCCAGGCTCCAACGGTCTTCGAACGCCTACCGATATCGTGATATCGACTTCCAACTATGCGATATTCCCGCTAACCCGCTTTCCTACTTCGCCTTTTTTGTTCCTATTCCATTCTAGTCGAGTCTCGATTTCGTCTTGGGAAACCCTCTTTGGACTTAGGGAGCGTTGTCTGGGCCATCACCAACGTTGGCTCTCATTCCTTCATCGTCCCCTTTTTTCCCGGCCTCATCGAGGGCTACCAACTCATAACTCAAAATCTGCCGGTTGTTGCAAATCTCAGAAGCCGACTCTCTTTACTATCTATCTGATCTATCGGCTTTCTTTGACCTCCCGCTGGTGTACGAAGTAGATCCGTCCCACACGGAAAATTACTACATCACTATATCAGAATGGAGGACAACAGCCATTGGGGTGGCACCGAAGATACTATAGACGACCCAGAGGAGAAAAAGGTCATCTGCTGCGCCTTGGACTCCTATCTGTAAGTCCTGTCTTACCCCATCTCGTTTTCCTTCCCCAGCTAACCCCTCCGACCCTCGCAAAAGCCAATATGCCAAGGTAGCCCATTTCAACGTGACACACCTACGGAGGCAGAGCTTCTACGCCCTACCCCAGGCGCAGTGGCAGATGCTTGCGAAGCCGCCATTTCATTTCCTCGACACCTTGGACAAGACGGACGATGCCATAGACGCCAACGCCGAGCTGGCCCGTGCCATCGCCAGCAACGGCCTCCGGTCCTTCCACATGACCGGCTCCGGATCCGGATCCAGCTCCGAAGGCACCTGCACCGCTGGCGACGACGCGGAACCCGTCATGCCCCGGGAATGGCAAGGCGTGGCCAAACACACCGACATCGACAAGGCCCGCAGCACCCTTCGTCAGTTCTACCGGGACTGGACCGCCGAGGGCGCCGCCGAACGTGCCGCCAGCTTCGCGCCCGTCTTCCGCGCCGCCGAGCAACAGAGGGAACGGTGCCAGCGTCCCAGTCCGCCCGACGCTGACTCCGACGCCGAAGCCGACGCCGACGCCGACGCTGACGGCCGGCTCAAAGTGCTCGTCCCCGGCGCCGGGCTCGGACGCCTCGTCTTCGATCTGTGCCGCATGGGCTTCGACGCCGAGGGCAACGAGATCTCCTACCACCAGCTCCTCGCCTCCGCCTACGTGCTCAACTGCACCCAGCGCGCCGGCCAGCACACCATCTACCCCTGGATCCACTCCTTCTCCAACCACCTCACCAGGCGGAACCACCTCCGCGGCTACGCGGTGCCCGACCTCCACCCGGCCACCGAGCTGGCCCTCACCCCCGCCGCGGGCGAGATGTCCATGTGCGCCGCCGACTTCCTCTGCCTCTACAGCGACGAGAACCACGAGGCGCTGTACGACGTCGTCGCCACCGTGTTCTTCCTCGACACGGCCCCCAACCTGATCCGCTACCTCGAGGCCATCTTCCACTGCCTGAAGCCCGGCGGCATCCTCGTGAACGTCGGCCCGCTGCTGTGGCATTTCGAGAACCACGCCCCGGGGAACCACGGCCGGGACGACGACGGGGACGGGGAGCACGATTACAACAACTCATCGGGCATCGCCGACCCGGGGAGCTTTGAACTGGCTGACGATGAGGTGATGGCCCTCGTCGAGACGTTGGGGTTCGTCGTGGAATCGAGGGAGACTGGTGTGGAAGCGCCCTACATCCAGGACGCCGATTCCATGCTGCGGACCATCTACAGGGCTAGCACGTGGGTTGCTCGCAAGCCGGCGCCGTCATGAGATTACCCGGTACTGCCGCACATGGTCGACCTGTTCGCATTATATTCATGTATCGCCAATCATCATGTTTTCAACCAAAAAGATTTATAGCGTTAGAATAGGATAGATGAGCGTATCACACAATACTCCATCATAGCGACAACCAAGGAGAGGGGGGGTTCCTATTCTGGCATTCATCTGGACTTGAGTCTGCCTTCATTCCGACCTTGGCATTGTACATATATAAATATATAAGATTGAATCTGGTAGGGTGGCCTAGATGGCATGGTTTCTAGATGCGCAAAAGTCCTGCATTGCGCGATCCTATGGCTGTAGCCAGTTGGGCCAGGGACGGTGGCGGTGGCGGCAGCGGTGGTGATGGTGGTGCTGACAGTTGCCCAGCTAGACTTGGGTGTCTCATCCAATGGATAGGCAAACGCAAACCGCCTTCAATTGGGGATGCCTTCATGGAGGCGGTGTTGTCATGCTGCAGTCGGAAAAGAACGAGGCAAGCACACTATAGCTTGGCAGAGACATTCAACTCCCCGCGCTGCCACAGAGCACCCCCGTCAATGGCGATCACCTCCCCATTGACGTGGGACCCGGCGCGGCTAGCCAGGTACACCACGACGCCAGCGATGTCTTCCGGCCGGCCGAGGCGGCCCATAGGGTTCCCCTTCGCCACCCTGTCGGCGCCGCCCGCCATGCCCAGCAGGCCGTTCGACATCCTGCTGGGGAAGAAGCCGGGGGCGATCGAGTTGACCGTGATGCCGCGGCCCGCGAGCTCGAGCGCCAGGTTCCGCCCAAGGTGGATGACGGCCGCCTTGCTGGCGCTGTACCCATACGTGCCCTGCGGGCCGAGCGTCCCGATGCCCAGGCCCGCCACCGACGCGGTGATGATGACGCGCGCCGGGTCGCCGGCGCCGCCGCCCCCCCTGGCGGCCGAGGCCTCCAGCAGCGGCGTGAAGAGGCGGATGGTGTTGAAGACGGCCTTGACGTTGAGGTCCATGACCTTGGCGAAGGCGGAGTCCGGGTGCGTGTCGAAGGCTTCGCCCCACGTGGCGCCCGCGTTGGCGAAGAGGATGTCGACCCGGTCCGTGTGCTCCTTCACCTGCGCCAGGAGGGACTCCACGCCCGCGAGCGTGGCGGAGTCGGCGGGCGCGGGGATGGCGATGGCGCCCGGGGCGCGGTGGGGGAGGGCGTTGAGCGCCTTGCAGGCCTCCTCGCAGGCCGCTGCCTTGCGCGAGGAGATGAAGACCTTGGAAGCGCCGGCTTGTAGGAAACTAGATTTCCGGGAGGGGCCGGGAGGGACCGGGAGGTTGTATATCAGTAATTGGGTCCAATTGTTGTAAAATCATGTTGATTTCGCATCGCTGCCGAGTACAAACAAAGGGAGAAGAGAGAAGGGACGGACGTACGCGGATGCGGCATGCAGACCAAGTCCACGGGAACCTCCAGTGACGACGGCAACCTTCCCCTTCAAGGAGAAGAGGGAGGGGAAGTCTTTCAATTGAGCATCAGTAGCCATGGCGAATTTATTTGAAGTCGAGGTCAGCGATGAGCTGTTGCACAGGCTCGACAGCGACCAAATCGGCAGAAGCAATGAACAGCTTTCGACTCTGACACAAAGCTAAATCAAAAGGAGACAGAGAAGGGATCCAAGAGGAGGCGAGATATACGACTATGCTCTGGTGTAGGAATAGAAGTTACGTTGTCTAGGGCGCGCGAACGATCTGGGGCATCGCGAGAGGCGAGACAGGTACTGTACTGTACCGTACTCCCGTACAGTAGGTACTTGAGTGACGACGATATGTGGGGTTTGGCTTGACCTCCATCGTGGCACATGCACAAGTGCTCCGTACTCCATACGTTTGCTACTTCCAAGGTACCTGACCTAACTGATTTGGGGAGTTTTGCGGGGAGGATTCGCTGAAAGATGCCGAGCCTCGGTCCAGCTCCATGCTCCTGATGAGTAAACGTAAATAACACTCTGTCATTGCGAAGTGATTACTAATAAGGGAAGCTAGAGAGGTCAAGAAACAAGGAAAAGTCATGGTAGAAAAGACGGGACAGGAGTTACAAACACAAAGGGAATAGAAAAGAACAACGAAAAGGAAAAGGAAAAAAGACGACAGTTCTTCACGTCATGAAGATCCTGTGAAGATTCCAAGGCCCTCTCAACGACCAACATTTCAAGGTAACAGTCTCGGATCCATTTCGTCCAGCCGCATTTACTTCCAATACCGAACCTGCGTATGTCCCTCCTCCCATACAGTCTCGTGTCATTCTGAATTTCCCGCAGACTGAGTAACGCCCATTACGTGTAGGTAGGCAAAACGTCTTTCGGGGCCGTGTCGAATCAAGACGAACAAAAGAAAGAAAAGAAAGAAAAGAAAAAAGAAAAAAAAATTGCAGAGCAAGTAAATAAATGAGTGGGCGGGTCTATAGGCTCCGGCCGCAACGTCATCAGAGCAACGCTGCAATGCCGGGTCTCTCCCGGGTAATAATTCGTTACTTCGTAAATGCGATCGTCGTGGTTTAATCGAGAGCAGGTGGCTGATTTGTCGAGTCGCGTTTCGCGAGCGCTGCCCACCATCGAACGAGGGGGGAAAGAAATATAAGAGAAAACGTATCTTGTTGTGAAAGTTATAGCACCGCAATGGGCGCTAAAATATCGGTTCGGCAAACGGTGACGGCGGCGAGACTGATTCTGTTCGTCTCGCCCAAGGGAACTAATGTCCCAGTCCCCTTCTCAGTGCCCCTTATGTTTTGGGGGAGGACTTTACCGTAGGTGCCGTTTTCAGGCCTGGAGAAGCATGGCAGGGAATGATCACTTGCGGGTCTTCCTGCGTTGGTGCTTAATTTTGTTCTCCCAGCACTTGTCGACGGCGTCGAGGACAATATCCCAGTCCTCGGGGATGATGTGGCCGATGAAGAACACCTTGACATTGTGCTCCACCGTCACCAGTTTCGAGTAGTTGGCTCGGGACTCCTTGGCCAGCTTCTCGCCTTCGGCTTCGATTTTCATCCGTGCCGGCGAAAATCCCAGCTTCGGCTCGTTGTCCAACGGCTTCGGCCTGTGGCCCTGAACGTAGATAATGCCGTGCTTGTGGGGCTTGACTCCTTTCTTTTTGCAGGCTTTTCCTCCGTAGGTGAGGATGGGCCTGGGGCGGGAAAAGAGGATGGATCAGTTTAGGACTTTGACGACGACGAGTCATGGGGAAGGGGGAAGGGGGAAGGGGTAGGGTGTTTACACGCAAGTGCAGTGGCCTTCATCGTTCCCAATGACGATGTACCGCCTGAATCCCACATAAATCGCGCCCCCATATTGATCCTGCAACGCCCTCTTATCTGAAATGGTGGGTGTTCCACCAACGTTTCCCGACGGTTCTGCCCAGAGGACTTTGAAGACCTGTTTCGTCTTAGCAGTGGTGATGGGATAGGGGAAGCGTCGGAAGGTCGGAGTAAGGCTACAAAATGAAAGAAAAAGAAAAAGGAGGGGGGAAGGGGGGGGGAAGCCAGCACTCACCTCGCCCGGCTGAAACCTGCTGGATGGCTCAACAACGTATCCTGAACCCCCCGTCAGTATTGTAAGCCTGCTCGACGACACAGATAAACGAGCCGCAGGACTTACGTGGATCAAGCGCCTCAATCTCTCCTCCTGTGCCCCTGATGTCGAATGGCTTCGGCGTTGACGGACCTTCGTCCTCCCCCACCTCACATGGCTCGTAGGCTAAATAGGGAGTGAGAAAAAGACAGCATGAGGAGCGGTGGGTATTTGGCTGCATACCGTACACTTGCCCCGTCGATGATGATTCCCCCGCGCGCGACTGATTCAAACCCCGACTGAGATTGATTGCCGCCTGGAGAGCGGCGTCGTCGTCAATTTCTGCTGCCGACTGGCCCTGGTCCAATCCATAAGCCGCAGCTACTGTCGACTCCGCTCTATTAAGTCTCACATCGTCTACTCCAGTCTCGTCGTTGTCGTAAGAGGGCTCCTCCTTCTCTTTCCCCTTCTCACCAACTGGCTCGGCCGCCTCTTCCCCCTTTTGATCAACTGACTCGACCGCTTCTTCGTCGGGATCATGCCTCGACTGCGTGTAGGAGTACTCGGCCTCTGGACACCTATTTAGTCACCTGCAACCGGGCAATCCGGACCCTCATATTTGGGGAGACGCAATAGGGACTCACGTTCAGACGGACCCCCTGGGCTTTCCGAGCTATGAGCGTAAGCGCTCTCGGGAGAGTATGAATAGGACGTGGCAGATAGTTGGTTTATGCCGTGGGTGATGTCCTCAATGCTTGGATCTCCGGCTGCAGCTTGAGCTTGCCGGGGGATCTCGTCGGCAGTCGCACCACCTCCAGGGTGAAAGTCGTACTCGCAATTACCTGCCAGGGCATCAGCCAGAGTAAGAAGCTAAAGGAAAGAAAAAGAAAAAAAAAAAGGGGGGGGGGGATATATTCGTACCGTCTGAATCCTGGCGGGCACGATAGTAAGTGCCGTGTTCAGGAGACCAAATCCAGTCGCTCCAGTCGCCCCAGACCGGGCGCCTGGGCCTATGCTTGTGGGTTCTGGTTTTGTGCATAGTGGCATCTTGCACCCGGCGACATTGGCAAAAGAAGGTGCTTATGGCCCTCAAGGCAGGAAGAAAGATGGCATTGGCAAAGAGCGTAAGCTAGGCCCCGGCAAGGAGAGGGCGTCCAGGCTTGGTAGAAAACGAGACGGAGGTGGGCGACAGAGAGGATAGAGAGAGGAAAAGGAAAGGGCGAAAAAAGAAAAGAAAAAAAAGGAGGAAAAAAAAACAAGGGGAAACGACGGGATACGGAACGATATGGGCGTCAGATCAGTTTTTGTTGAAGCCCAAAACAGCAAGATACTTAGTCGCAAAGAAGGCCAGGTAGGTGGCTACCAAAAGGCACGTCGAAATCGAAATCGAAATCCAACCTGAATGAAGCCTTGGGAGATCCAGGGTCCATGTAAGAGGACAGCCTTCCCCACCTTTTCTCGAGGTCCGGACTGAGGATCGCAGCAGATGCCAAGGGTCGTTCTTGACGGACACCAGGTAGAATCTCGTGAGCGAATGAGAGGACTGGTTGCGAACCAAACTGCACGGCAAGGCGCAGGTATAGAGGTGGTCAAGAAGGCCCAGAAAAGAAAAATAGAAAAAAAAAGGACGAAAAAAAGGGCATAAGAATGTATGAATGTGCCTGTCTGCTGCTCTGTTCTATATCGGTCCGTCTATTGGGTAGACTAACGGGGTTGGTGATGAGGGGTGACAACTGAGGGGTGACAACTCGGGGCACTCGCTGTCCGACCTACGAGGGCAACGAGGGCGGGGAGGAGGAGAGAGAGGTTATCCCCGGTCGCGGCATGTCTGTCCATCAAGTCAAGTCCGTGTCCATCTCATCTGTTGGTAGGTTAACGGATAACCCTGGTTGGACAGTGGTCATTGGCTTCGACGTGGACGTGGGGGATGCCAGAAGGTCCAGTCGTAACGGACCGGGCTGAGGGCAGAGGCAGAGGCAGAGGCTACTCTGAGCTCTGAGCTGGTGGCATGCTGAAAAGGCTGGCCAGTGACCTTTTCGTTCGCGGAGCAGGTTTATGCAGGCTGAGAGGAGAATGGCGCTCACACACTCCAATCATCACCTTCCGGCTGCCATGTATGAATGCCTGATGGAGCGCGTCCGCCCGCGTCAGGGTGAGTGTATGAGTGGATGCGTGGGTGAGGGTGAGTGGACGAGTGGGCGAGACTGAATGCGCATGGCCATCGCCAGCGGGGTTTAGTACCTCGTGCTCCGCACAACCGAGTGTACCAAGTACCGGTACGGGGTATATGGGGTATTGTCAAATTACAAGGTAGTACCTAGGTACCTTACCCATATAATCCAGCTTACCTTGATTACCTGTACTTTGTGCACTGAAGTAGACCGAGGGCTCCAGTTGGGGTACGTTGTAATGTAGGAAGTGGTCATACGTGGAGTGCTCTTCTTTATTATTACCTACCTACCTTACCTATCCTTCGAAGAAAGTGGTGTAATACTCCGCAGCATCAGACCATGTACATGTGCAGATATGGAACCTTACCAAGTACCTTAATTACCTTAGGTACAAGCGATTGTGTGATTGTACGTACTCCTTCGGGAGTTCTAGGTGGGTCCAGAGACACAGACAGGTACTTCTCTTCGGTGAGGAAGATGGAAACACATTTCACCTCCATTTTCTCCGACGATGTAGGTAAATTGCCTTCTTCCCACATACTTCCGTAGCATGTGGTTGTCATTCATTGCCCGAACTTTTGAGAGACCCAAGAGCCTTCCTCTATACTGTACTTCCGTAATCTAGATCTCACTACGTTCACAATCCATCTACATTTACATTGCATCTGCCCCTACGGAGACGAGAAGAGCTTTGGCACCCAACGCCTCATCCCACGAGGATGGCTCTCCCTCTTGCTACCTCTCCCAATGACTCTGCCCTTAAGAAAGTGTCACCTTCGTCACCTCGCTATCGAAGACAAGGCCCTCAGGCATTCTAGAAGCCATTCGTCCCAGACTGACTCTACCACCTCGTCCTCCATGGTGGCCCTCTGCCATGGCCGACATGAGCGCAAAGCCCGACGAGACTTTGCCGTTACAGCGCTTCCCGCCACCTCCGCGACCTCCATCATTCCGCTCATCACCCAATGCACCCTTCAACGGCCAACATCGCGATCAGAAACCACCCAGTATAAGTAAAGGGGCTCCGCCGCCGCCTCCGCCTCCTCCGACGCTCATCCCTCGAAGCCACTTCGCCCGATCCCCTTCAAACGCCCTCCCCCGCGAGCAACTCGCCCGTCCATCCTTCGAAACACCGACTCTCCCCCTTGGGCCTTCACCAATTCCTCGTACAGCCTCGAACATAGAAGAGCAAGATGGCTCGCCGACTAAAAGCCTCTGCCCCCCAACTCCTCGAGGACGTACGGCCTCAATCCAATGGTCATCGCCTTCGTCGTCTCCGCGACATGGCGGTTCCGATACAGAGGACGATTCGTCAGACGAGGAGGAGGACTACTACGACCACTGGAACCGCAATTTCCCGCCGCTTATGCCGACCGTCGGGCCCCGGGTCTCGATCGCGAGGAAAAGGAGACTTGTCACGAAAAATATTTCGAATAGGGTATCCCGCTACGAACGACGTAGTCCGGCGCAGAGCGAGCCGACGTCTGACACGTCGTCCGATATCGCATCCGAGAACTCCGAAGACGAGGCCCAACTGCTCTGGGTGCAGTTAAAGGAGAAGCGCCAGCGTCTGGACGAGACGAAACAAGCCATGGCCGCGCGACGGAAACAGCTGCGGGAGCTTCGCCGAAGGAAGGACGAAGCGGACAACGCCTTCATGGGCCTACTCCGCCCGCTCTTTCAAAAGAGTCGGCGGGGAGGCGTGCACAGCACGTCGGATGAGCTTCTCGACAGACGATTCAATGAAATGCAAAGACTACGCACGGAGTACCACTACCTGGAGTCTGCTTACGAGGGGTTGGAGGTGGCGCTGGACGAGCAGGAGGAGGACCTGAACAAGCTGGAAGTCAGGTTCTTCAGCCTCCTGGCCACGGGGCGTAGCCGAAGCGCCAGAGCGCAGACGCGCAAGTCCGATACCGACCCAAGGGCTTCAGGGGCACCGTACAACGTGCCGCACCTTCTCCTGGGCATATCACCCGAGGGACCTCCCCTGGACGACGTGCACCCGCTATGGCGCGATCTCGTCTCCGCCATCGGCGACTTCAACCTCGCGCAGGAGGAACTGGACGACCTTCTGTTCCGCCGGGAGCAGATTGCGTACGAGCTGGAACTGAAGAAGGGCACCGGCAAGACGCCCACGGAGGAAGAAGAGGAGTTCATGGCCGAATTCCCCGGCGAGGAGAGGGAGAGGCGCCGAAAGGCCGACGAAATGGCCGAAGAAATGCGGCGCCTCCGCCGGCTTTGCAGGGATCACGGCGTGGAGGTGAAGCACCCGTCCTTCGAAGTCGCCTACGCGCTGGACCGCAACATCGGCGAAGACATGACGTTGTCCAACGACGACGCCCGGGCCGAATCCAAGTCCCTCGCCCACCACCGTTTCCCCGAGCTGCTCTCCCAGCCCGACCACGTGCTCCGTAGACCCGAGCCCCTGACGGTCTTCGACGACCTGAAGCAAGCCGCCAAGCTGCCGGCCGGCGACGCGGGCAAGAACGCGAGGATGCATGTTGCCGTCAAGGAGTACGGCATCCACGACCTCGTCCACGGGTTCAAGGGGGGGGACAGGCTCGAGTTGGTCGCGCGGTGGCTGCTTTACCAGCTTCGGACCAACCCGCTCGAGGCTTACTTACTGTCCAACACTTTCCTGCGCCAGACGGGCCTGAAAGTTCTGGACCGTCATCGTTGGACGCGGGACGTCCTTTACCATTGGTGGAGAGACGGCACTAGGCCCGCCTCGAATAGGGCAAATGATGGAGGCGAGGCGGCAGCCGACTCCTCCATGTACGGGCATAAGAGATCACCTTCGGCTTCGAGGGCTGCTAGCGAGTATCGTCATGGTGGTCGGGTCAGGCTGGGCTCCGATGAGGACGACTCGAAAACTGTCTCTTGATGGACCTTTTTGCTTGTAATGGTTGTTTGCCATTCTTTCATTCTCTGGCTTCCAGGAAGGCGGGACATATCCGGGTCTGGGATGTTATCGAATTGCAGATGACAGAACTGGGCCATCCAGGGGCCACCCTTACATACGAGCCCAAGACTAATCCTAGGCTTGAGTTTCTTCTTGTTCCTTTTTTCTTTCCTTTTTTTCTTCTTCTCCCCCCCATCTCTTTTATCCCTCTTCTTCTCATGTCATGGATAGCCAGCCTTGATGTAAACTGCTTTGCCGATACCCTCTTGTTACCTCTTGTTTTCCGTGTACTGGTTTGGGCTTTGTACAACAGGCCGAGAATCTACTAAAGGGCTCCTCGTACGCAATACTGTTTCCTGCTCTTTGGGAACGATGAACCCCCCTTCGACGGGGAACTCCCAAATCTTGTCGACAAGGTGATCTTGTGGTGTACCGTTTTTGGCCACCACCATTTGTCGTGGTCGGGGTACATTCGCAGCTCGTGTTGCGGCCTGTAGGTATGATATATAACCCGCTTCCCCCGTGGCACTGGCGCAGTCGAGATGAGATGGTGGACTTGAATTGTCGTTTAGTTCTAGAATCCATTGGGTTGGACTTGACTATTTCCCCCTCTGTCAGAGCCATGAGACCCTTTCTTCTACGACGTAGCCCCTCCTCTTGATGGAAGTCACATGCATCTGTGTTTGTCCAATACACCGACCCGAGTCTCCCAGGAAAAAAAAAAGGGGGGGAGGGGAGGGGGGTAGTAAGTGAACAAGTCGGACGAGCATGTAATGGTTGCCCAGAACTATGAGTGGGTATCTTCCAGTGGTTCTATTCCCCTGATGCTGATTTTCCCCTACATCCTAACTCATGGAGAACATCACGTCATGAGGCCCGCCCAGATTCGCCAACTTGAAATACAAACGATAAAGAGCAAAAGGCTCAGCCTAGCATCATCTCGTCCCCGTCCCCGGTGTCACCGCCAGCAGCGCCCATCTTCCTCCGCAACCTCATGGCACCCTCGTCCCTCTCCCTCCGCCTGTGGCCTTCCTGGATCCACGCCTCGTAGGCGCCGTCGCCCTGCCGGACCTTCTCCGCCACGACGCCTTTCAAAACCTCGCCAGCGAACCCGACAAAGTTGTGCCGCCGCAGCGCATTCTCCCACCTCCACTGCCGCCGCTTCTCCTCCTCCCTCGCGAGCGTCTCCTGGTCCCCCATCTCCGCGGCCGCAACACGCGGGTCGCGCACCATGGCCAGCACGTTGAACCGTATCTCGCTGCTGGCGTAGGTGGCGACCCGGTCGGCCAGGACGCCGGCCACGCGGGAGGGGAAGTCGTCGGCGCCGCAGTCCCCGTGCGAGACGGGCGCGGGCTGCAGGCCGTCGAGCTCGTACAGGGTGCCGCCGACGGCGGAGTAGGCGACGAAGTGGAAGGCGTCCTCGGCCTCGTCGTCGCCCGCCCGCTGCGTCTCGTCCGCGAAGGGGCTGCTCTTGGCGAAGCTGTTGTGCACCTCGCGGATCAGCTCCGAGTTGCTGAGGGCCTCGCCGCGGAGGTCCGGGGGCAGGGCCATGGCAAAGTCGCGGAACTCGGACAGCCTGGCGCCCAGGTCGACCTCGTCGGTCTTGTTCATGACGACGGACAGCAGGGCCTGGGTGCCGCAGGCGTTCTGGATGGTTTGGCGGGCGAAGAACAGGCGTTCGGCGGCATCGTGGTCGTAGGATTCTTTCGGGCGCGGGGGAAGGCCTTCGGAAGGGTAGCGGAAGAGAAAGATGATGCCGTAGACGGGTTGGAGCGGGGCGAGCTCCTCGGGGGAGAGGGTGAGGAGTTCTTCGAACTGGACGCCTTTGACGCCGAGATTCTCGAGGAGGTAGGTGAAGACTCCGGCATCCGACTCGACTGCGTAGCAGCAACGCCGTGATCAGTCTGGGGGTCCAAAATGAAGAAGAGAAGGAGAAGTAGGAAAGGGGGCTTTCTCACTCGTGTTCCAACCACCGCTCATCTTGCTGGTAGCTTTGGAGTTGCAGCTAGAGGAAAGTGCAGCTCGAGAGGGGCGGCGCTAGCTAGCTAGCTTTTGAGACCGAGACCACTGGAACTTGCCAAAGGGAGGGTGTTTGTTTGGAAAGAAGAGTCTTAGCTTAAGGTGAAGATGGGGGAAGTCTTCTCTCCTCTACGATTATGGGAAGATTTTCCAAAGTTCTCGGAGCTGAACAAAATAGCACGGCTCTGGAATGCGGGCAGCTTCCCTTCCCTTCGTCATGCACGGTACGTATAGAGTGGGTACCCATGTGCCAGTAACAACCTGGAATTCATCTACTTCGTACCTACCTTGGAGGAAGTACAAAATATGGATACTTACTTACGTAACCAAGGTACGGGAAACGGATTCGTACAGTGTAATTACTCCGTACGAGTGTACAATTCAGACGGTTTCAGGGGAGGTGGAAACCTCAAAGACAGACTACGGTACCAACCTCCACGGAGTACAACAACAACGACCACAGAATCCCATCTGACCTTGTTGATTTAGTTATTTAGAGTGAGCCATTGGAGTGACGGGATTCTGTTGCGGCATCGATTCCATCTCCATCTCCATTTCGTCATTCCGATCAGATGAACCAGGGCGGGACTCGTCGTTGAAAGAAGTCCCCATTCTTCCGGGCCGTTCGACGATTCGCTTGTCCGCCTTGCCGACCGATTTCTTTCGTGCAATGGCCCGGATGAACCATGGGGCTCTTCCCGAGCCTCTCCAGGACCAATATTCCTTTGCGTCGTACTCCTCGGGTTCCAGCCTCCCACCGCTGGCCCATACCGTGCATGCGATGAGACCGTTGAGCACGGCGTAGACGAAGATGCCGCTGTATCCCCGAGTTAGACACCTGCGCTTCAAGTCCCGTCAGAGAGACAGAAGAGGGTATACGTACGCGATAAGGCCATATGCGACACTGTACGAAAATGGGACGAATGCTATCACCACAAACGAAGGCAGAACATCTCCCAGATAACGCCAGTTGATCCGGGTGATTTGTTGAATCATCATACAACCGACCTAACCAAAACGATAGTCAGCATTCGTCCATCAGAGATGAAAGGGGCCGGGGCTGGCACTACCAGGACCAATGTGCAACCGGTTGCCCAGGGGGGGATCGACGCCAAAACGGGCGCGAAGAAGATGGCCACGATGAAGCAAACGCCCGTGAACATGGCAGTCAGCCCCGTTCGCCCGCCCTGGGCAATGCCGGCGCCGCTCTCGATGAACGCCGTCACGGGCGAACAGCCAAACAGCGCCCCCACCGAGATGCAAGCCGCATCACAGCAGTATGCCGTCGTGGACCGCGGAAAGTCGGCATCTTGCGTGTCGATGGCCCCGCAGAAGCGAGCCATGGAATACAACGTCGCAGTGGCGTCGATGATGTCGACGTAAAGGAAGGTGAAGAGGGCCAGGGCGAACTGGGAGCTGTCCTCACTTATACGCCAGTCGAGCACGTTCAGTGTGTTTCGGATGGGGTGGAAGGAGACGATTGACTTGAAGAAGTCGAACCGCATATTCCCTTCTTCGTCGTTGGGGAAGTAGGTGATATGGGTATTGCGGCTGCCCAAAGTCAGCAACGTTCCAAGGGAAAAAAAAAGGAGGAAAAAAAAAGGGAAAAAAAAGGGAGACGATGCGGGAGCAGACCCACGGCCAAGACGAAATGGACACCAGAGCGATTCCAACAATGAGGGCATATTTGACTCGGAAGGACATTAGGTAGGCAGAGACAATCCCCCCAGCAAGAATGGCCGTCCACATCTGAAAACGATACGTCAGCATCCTCCGGTTGGATGCCCAGACGGCCCAGGCCACAACATACCTTGGGGCTCGACATGATGCCGCCCTCACACATCCGGGTCTCTGGATCAATCATCTCTTCCGGGCACCCTGCAATAGCCAGGGGCGTGGCTTTGAAGCCTCCAGTGATGGCGCCGATGCCGGCCGAGTACGACAGCCCTATCTCGGCCAAGAACAAGCCAATGCCAACACCGGTCGCCGTCTTTATCGTGGCGGGAATCAGTTTCACGAGCCATTGGCGCATCCCCGTCAATGCGAGGACAATGAAGACGAGGCCCTCTACGAAGACGGCGGTCAGGGCGACCTGGTACGAGATGGGGCCGGAGCCATTGGGACCGACGACTTGGAACGCAAAGTATGCATTCATGCCCATGCCCGGTCTCGTGTGATGTCAGTTGTCGGCCTCGAGCCGGGGATAGAGAAATGAACTCACGCAACGGCGACGGGGAGATTGGTGAAGAGACCGAACACGAAGCTTGAGAGACCGGCTATGGCGGAAGTGGCGGTAACAAGATCTCGTCGAATATCTATCAAGGCGGCGGGGGAACGAATAAGCACACGTCTGTATCTGCCAGGTTGGGTTGTTGAAACAGGGGGGGTTTTGAAAGCCCGCTTACCCTCCTTGCATGCTTTGTAACCCGGGACATCGTCACACTTGGTTCGATCCTCCAGGCTACATGCGCAGGTGCCCCCTGTCTGCGACAGAACGGTGGCCTAGCACAGCAAGTCAAAAAGGAAGCCAGAGAGAAGCGAAGCGCCGAGGAATACTACTCACGTTAACCGCAATAATATAGGCCATCGTTGCGAATGTGGTGGCACCAGCCCGGAGCTCTTTCACAAAGGAGGAGCCGGTAATCTCACTTGCCTGCAGGCAACATGTCAGAAAACCATAAAAAGTAAGTACTACTGCCTTGTCGTCGTTCTGGAGGAGACGATCCAGAGTAGTGAATGCCAGCATGGATGAGCTAGCGAACCCGGGGAGATTATGCTGAGTTGTGACTTACATGACCGCTACCCTCGAGTTTGAAGAAGCGACCGATGACGGAAGAAGACACCGTTTTGTCAATTCGTCCGATGCCCTTTGCAACGTGGTGGTGGAAGGTTGACTGTAGTCCTCTGAGAACGGACCCGAGTCGACGCGGAGAATTTCCGTTGTGCTCCAGAGACTCGGCCATATTCACAACAGGAGCGCCGTGAGGAAGGTTGGGTCAAAGTCCGATCCAGATGTGGCTCCTCTGTAGTATACGAATAAGAGGAAAGGGAGGATGGAAACAGAAGAAGAAGAAGAAGAACAAGAAGAGTCGCCCTACCTGACATGCTCAAGTGATGTCATCTTGGAAGAAAATGGAACACGGCATTGCCAAGTGAGAGGCATTTTGCGAGGAAGGAACAGCTGAAAAAAGATGGGACCTGCCCATGTAAGATTTCGGTTCGGGTAAGACTTCAACACTGATATCGGGTTAGGAGGCCGAGGGCACTGTAGCAGTTGTCTGAAGTCTCCGGCCACCTAAATTGTGGTGGTAGGCGTTACGTCCAACTCGCTGATCGGGAGTGTAGAGTGTAGACTGAAAGGAAATATCATCGTCTCTTATCCCGTCAAAAGGACTCGCTAGTGGTTCTCATCATCATCGGTCGAGCAAGCCCTGGCAATGGCCTAAGGGGTTGGCTGTAAATGGGCAATACGACACTAAAGCTTTGGAAATCGTGCAGTTCACCTAACAGAACCATTGCCAACCATCCAGAAGGGAATAAAGATGTGAGATAATAAACATGTCAGTCTCCCGAGTAACATATATATCATGTCAATGTGACTTGACTTGTGAATGGTGTCCATCCGTGGGCAAGAGGTAAAGGTGAAGTCGAAATAAACGCGTCTCACATATGAGATCTTGGCAAGTATATTAGCTAATTTTGCTACTTGGACGTTTATATAAGCCAAAATACATGGGCTGTGGGGGGTTTCTTTTTTGGGTTTACACGTGTATATACGAAAGACCATAAGGTATCTGTCTAGGTATGAGAACCGGTTCTACAGGTCCGACGTTTCAATGAGAGGACTTTGATTGCCAAGAGCAACCTTAATCCGGTCTCTTCAGAGGAAAAGGGAAAAAAGAAAAAAAGAAAAGAAGAAGAAAAAGAAGAAGAAAACCCCTCACAATAGCAAGAGACAGGCTATGCTAGGTAGCTTGAGAGTCACTGGTTAATCAACCCTGAAATTCATTCCATATAATGACCCATACCTTCCCCTCTCTTTCCCTTCTTTCTTCTTTCCGGTGGTTCAAGGCGCCTTCTATCCGACCTATCTAACGAAGAAGAGAGGCGGAAGATCAACTCCCAAAGTCCAACTCGGATCCTCTCATACGTGACGTCACGTCCCTCAACTGAGATCAATAATTACTCCAAGACAAAGTACTCGGGCTTACGCTTACAGTCTCCTCAAGAATCATGTGGGAGGTTGTGTGGACCGACCCGGACAAGAAGTCCAGAAGACAACATCGCGAAAGAAAAAAGGACCAGCAAAATCGGAGGCACAGGAGTAAGACGATCCAGGACTCCCCTTCGAGTCGCACTCCAGATCAGTCGGTCGACCGCTCTCAGGGCTCTCCCGGCTCATCCACCCAAGGTAGGGATCCGTCCCAACAACACACCTATGCCACACAGCACTGATTTCTGGGCTTGACAGGTTCAGTGGTCTCACAATGGACCGACAGCTCGGTCGTCAAGCCAGTGTCACCATGCAGCACCTCGATGGCCGAGTCAATAACAACAAGGTCAGGCCACCCCTACGTTTCATCTCCTGTCCACAGTGGGCATTACTGACAGCCAGTAGGGCACTGGGACCTCTCCAATCAGACGCACCGATCAACCTGTTTCCGAAGCAGCCGTCGCACTCACATCGGAGCCGACTGGATTGCGTTCCGTCCTGGGATTCCGTCTTCAAGCCCAACAACCATGAAGCATGGAAGCCACTTGACACCTCCTCGCATTCTGGTCGGTTACCTGCTGTTCGAGCTTCGGCGTCCGAAAGAATGACACCTGAGTCCAAGGAGGCTGAGAACGACATGGGGAAGCCACCGGGCTTGAATGAATTGCAGCGAGAGATCAAGCGCATCACCACTGCAAACAACAATGTCCACCTTCTCCGTCTCAAGGAGCTGTGGAGAGAGTCGAAAGCCGAGACTGCATGTCAGGAGCTTGAGATGGAAAAGACGATATGGATGCTCTCCGCTCTAGACAACATGGATAGGCCAGTAAATCCAAGTCCCGGTCCCTCCAGAGATCCTTGCTCGCAAGATACGTCTGGCCAGACTCGGAAGATCCTAGCTCTATTCGAATCCCATGGTGAGCCGGTCCTCATATAGTTTCATGGCTACACACTACGATATCGGCGATTCTGACATTGTCGTCTCTTAGCCACAGCTTCGTACTTGGCCGCAGTCCATTCCGACAGGACTGTTTGCCATATATCGTCTGATCCACTCCCGCACACACTCTTCTCAAACATCCATCCCGTGTTCGTACCGTCTGCGTCCATGCCAACGCTCCCCGTGGCACCAGGACTCTTCGACGCAGCGTACTCCCTCACCCTCCCTTCGATGGTGCCGGCCGCGGAGGTGCCCCGACTGCTGAGCAAAGTCCACGGCGCCCTGGCCGAAGGAGGCAGGTTTCACCTGACGCTGATCGACCCGATGCCTTCGGCAGCAGCCACACTGGGGCCGCTTCTCCGCGCCTGGCTCGAGAAGCACCTGCTGATCAAGCTCGAACGCAACTTCCGAACTACGCTCCCGAGCAAGCTGTTCCCGTGCTGGCTTGCAGATGCCAGTCTCCGTGCAGAGGGCAGCACCATCACCACGACGAAGTTCCTTGCCGTACCGTTGGCGAAGTCCGAGGGCGTGGCGGCGGCATACCGCAGGGAAGAGGCCGCGGGAAAGCTTATCAAGCAAGAGTTGCGGAGTTTCGTGGGTCGAATGCTATGGGTGGAAGTTTGGGGACGCCTCGTAACTGCCGATGACATGTGGTGGGAGGACGAACTGATTGTTCGAGAATGCTACGCCATGCGAACGGCATGGGATTACAGCATTATTGAGGCGGTGAAGCACACGTCGCCGTGTTGAGGTTGTACGGGGTAGTGAACAAAAAGAAAAAAAATTCTAACCAGGACCTTGACTGACTGACTGCGTCCAAGGTCGTCAGAACTAAGTTGGCTTGTATTCACCTGATAGTTGATGATCGAGTCGCATGGGGCGCGGATGACAAATCGACATCAGAGGCAGCTGGCCCTCGAACTTGAGTACCTACACCGAAGTCTACCAATGGCAGATGCTTTTTTACAACCACAGATACTCAGTCGCTCAGGAGTGGACTAATAAGGAGGCTGGATATGTTGTGGAGAACTCTCTGGACGATCTAGACCCCAATAGAGGGCGCGGCGCCCTTCTTGGCTTACGGATAGAGCCTGCCGTCTTGATGGGGATAGCTGCCCACGATTACCGGTACGACATCCACAGTTTACAACGGTACGTCTTGGAACTTACAAGTACCTAATTACGGAATAATCCGTACCTCTGAGTTCTGACCCGAGGTATTTGCACGTGTTTTTACCATTCAGCAGAGACGAGCTCCGCCACGAACACCCCCTCCTCACCTCAAACCGGGTTGTCGGTACGGCCCCCCTGCTGGAACTTGTCCGGTCCTACCCTGTAATCCTACGTAACCGTCGATTCCTTCACATACTGCCCACTCACCATCTAAGACATGGAGGAGTGCACCGCCTTCAAGAGCGAACTACCCAGATATGAGACAATTTATACGGCAAGATCATACCCTCTGATAAAGTAAGGTATACAGATATCACCATCTCCCAAAGATATACACACATCTGGTAAATTACTTTATTTCCTCTCGGCCAAGAAGCCCGCGTGCGAAAGTATACACATACATACATACATACATACATTAATCCTGTTGTTTGCCTCTCCCTTTCTCCCGGAATAGGTCCTGCCACTACTTCTTTAGTATTTCTCATCACTGCTCATGCGACACTGATCTGCTCCCACTGGTATTGGCAAGCTCCGTCGTGCTCTCACTCTCGTAGCTCTTGGCGGCATTGGCGCGATCCCGGCTCGTAAGCTTGTACGCCTCCGTCCCCCGGCGCAGCCCGGCCCTCTGCTGCCCCGCCGGCCGGCGCCAGGCCCACAAGTCGGCGAAGAACACCTTGCACGCCGACCACGAGGTGGCGACGTAGATGATGGCGTTCCAGAACCCCTGCAGCGGAAGCACGAACGCGCTCATGTACTCGAGCGGCGTGCCCGACGAGCTGCCGTGGACCATCGAGTACACGCGGTTCGCGCTGGACGGGATCCACGTGATGAGGATGGCCGCGAAGAACAGGAACGCGCACTTGGCGTAGTGCCAGGCCGCGCTGTTCGCCTCGTAGTGGCGGCGGCGGGCCGCGACCGCCGGCGCCGCCACGGTGCCCGTGCCAGTGCCGGTGCCTGTGCTGGTGCCGGACCCGGCGGGACCGGTGGAGGAGTGGGTGATGGTCGGGGCCACGGGGACGGCGGTCTCTTCGGGCGGGCTGTCCTTGGGGTTCGGGTTCGCCGTGATGCTCACCGAGTAGATCGCGTCGGAGTTGTCGGGTCCCGGCGCCGCCTCCGGTTCACCCCGGTGCGGGCGGTGCGGGCGGTGGGGGCCTGGTTGCAGCGAGGCGGCGGCATCGGCTGGTCGGCGAATGGCGGCCTCGGTGGTGATGTGGACTTCAGTTGTCTTCACGGGCACAAACAGTTCGTTGAATGGGGCCAGTCCATCGGTCCCGTGGTTGTCGAAGTCGCGTAACTGCTGACGTTTCCGGTAGATGTCGCCTCCCGTGCGGATGTAGATGAAAAAGGTGATAAAGAGGACGAACCTGTATGTGGAAGTCAGCCAACAAAACTTGGCCCCCACCCCCC